GGTTGGGGTGAGAGGTCGGGGTGAGAGGTTGGGGTGAGAGGTTGGGGTGATAGGTTGGGGTGATAGGTCGGGGTGAGGGGTTGGGGTGAGAGGTTGGGGTGAGAGGTTGGGGTGAGAGGTTGGGGTTTGGGGTTAGGTGAGAGGTCATGGTGAGGGGTTGGGGTGAGAGGTTGGGGTCAGAGATCAGGGTGAGGGGTTGGGGTCAGAGGTTGGGATGATAGGTTGGGGTGGAGAGGTTGGGGTGAGAGGTTGGGGTGAGAGGTCAGGGTGAGGGGTTGGGGTGAAGGGTTGGGGTGAGGGATTGGGGTGAGAGGTTTGGGTGAGAGGTTGGGGTGAGGGGTTGGGTTGAGAGGTTGGGGTGAGATGTCGGGGTGAGGGGTTGGGGTGATAGGTTGGGGTGAGAGGTTGGGGGTGAGAGGTTTGGGGTGAGGGGTTGGGGTGAGAGGTTGGGGTGCTATAAAATTCCATGTTTAGAGTTCTATGAAATGGGGTTTTACGAGTGTTGTTGAGAAATTTGTTGAACCATAAATTTGACGACGTAAAAGGTTGAAACCTAATTTGGATTAGGTAAAATGTTGAAGCGTCACTTTGTGGAAAGTCATGCACTCTATTCACATGATCTATGACATAATAACTAGGGGATAGTTTGGGATATAGGATGGATATGGATGGTAAGACATAAATACACATTCCCAAACAAACCAACAAGTAGTACGTAATGCGAACATTTCCTAAAACTAATCCACAAATATGACTAACTTGTCCCAAAACTATGGTGGTCACACAACGGAGCTGTGATGCCAGTGAACCTGTGTGGCTGGAAGCAATCGAACATACGCGGGGGAAAGGGGGGCTTTGGGAAAAGTAAACATACATTTAATGTACAGCTATTTGTGAGCCATTTGTACATTTGTGGTCGCCACACACGTTAGCTGAACACCAGTTTGTAGAGTAACCACCAACATAATCTAAGCACCAGGTTGTAGTTACTAAATCCATTTGTTTACACACATCGAGACATGCGTGCCATGGCGTGACGTAGACTGCATACATTTCGTCACGCCGCACAAAGGGCTAGCGGCACCGTCTTCAAAGGGGGGCTACCAAGACTTAAGCCTTAACGCCTTGTTGAGGTAACTCTACGCTCGGGCAGCACTCCGCCGGACTATTAGTAGACTAGTAGGCATGGCGTATGAGTTATCTCAGTGGCGTAGCTAGGGCAGGTGCCGCCTAAGGTGGGCAGAGAATTTCGTCGCCCTTTCCAAGACAAAAAGACCCTCTGTAGTTGGAAAAAAAATGCCATCCCTCCGAATGTTCGAGAGAATCCCCGAATATCTTTTTTTTAATTTTTTAATTATTTGAATAATCCTTTTGAAAATCGTTGAAGATGAAATATAATATTTTTTTTTACTAGTTTATCTATTAAACTAAACTTAATTTAATTATATGAAAATCATAAAATGTCCCATGTCAAATTTAAAAGCTAGTTCCTTTGAATTATGTTTCAAATCACGTTATTTCTCGTACGTGACGAGATGTTATTTATTGTTATCCTGATATTTTGACATTTCCCTTCCCATTGGTTCCCCTAGCTGAGACTGAGAGACGGCATTCAGAACAAAACACTGTTCCCCCACCCCACCCCTCACCCCACAATCGAACCACAGATGCCATAATCGAACATAACAAAACCCACTTCCCCCCCCCCCCCCCCCCCCCCGTGGAGCCGGGGAACAGAATGGGAGCTTATGATAAGGACATGGAGCAAATGAACGAATTTTTTAAACAGGAGCAGACTACGGGAAAACAAAAGCCTGGGAATGTGTATTGCTCATTTAAGCTGAAGCTGAAGCCAACAAAAGTCAATGTTGGACGAGGTGGAAACAACATTCACTTGTTACGAATGTTAGTTGTGTCCCGTCATGCTCTCCGCCACAACAACTCTGACGTCATGTCCGTGGCTCTAACTAAAATAAAAGTCTGATCACATTTAGGGGTTTAGTTTTTTAGTCTTGGTCTAATTGATTTGATTTTAAAAAATCGACATTATTTGAGACAATTAATTTTCAGTGGTGTTAAAGAAACACCTCTCTTGGGCAGAAAGTAGGTTCATTGAAATATCTATTCAGAAAATATACTCCCCCCCCCCCCAAAAAAAAAAACAACCACTTTTTTTTCCTTCGTTCCCACCCCTGCAATCTAAATATATATATATTTTTTTTTTTTTATTTTAAAATGATTTAGGGTGGTTCTCTCGACAATGCGATTATCTTATAGGATCTTAATTAGATTTTGTACATACGATGAATCAGTGCAGCTCCACACTGCCCGCCATTCTCCTTCACTACTGCTCACACAATGACAAGCATCTATTGCCACGTCAACGGGGAGTGTAGACCTGGTGACGCATGACGTGACGTGAGACGACAGACGCTGTCCCGACATCCTTGTCTTCTGCAACGCCTCGGGTTCATTTGACATAACTTTATAACGATACTTTCATAGCCTGCTGGAATTTGTCTTTGAAGTAGAATCAAGTCAAAATCACACTGTGTTCATTTTAAAAAACTCCTACTGTACTTTAAGTTACGGATAACCCGTTGTTAAATTCTAGGGTACAGGAAGGACATATTCAGGAGACTTACATGCGACATACAGAAAACATACAGGTGTTATGATCACAGACCATTTTGATTTCGGAGCTGAATGTACAGGAAATGCTGATGAAATGTTGGGTGTAACAAGTGGACTTTAGGTAATTGGGCAATGTGGCACTGTGCCATGCTGGAAGTAACACGTGGACTTTAGGCAAATGGGCAATGTGGCACTGTGCCATGCTGGGTGTAACAAGTGGACTTTAGGCAAATGGGCAATGTGGCACTGTGCCATGCTGGAAGTAACAAATGGACTTTAGGCAAATGGGTATTGTGGCACTGTGCCATACTGGGTGTAACAAGTGGACTTTAGGCAAATGGGGAATGTGGCTCTGTGCCATGCTGGGTGTATCAAGTGGACTTTAGGCAAATGGGGAATAAGGCTTGTGCCATGCTGGGATTAGCTCAAAGAATTAATTGTAAGCTGTTATATTATGAACTATTTGCAGCAGTTAAGGGGTGGTGTCCCCTGAAAATGTTTGGGAATCCTCGGTTTGGATTAAAGAATGTGTACTTGATGAACTCGTATTACCGGTGTCCCATACAACTAGGTAGCCGGTACAGAACCCCGAGGAACAGTGTGTGCCTATAGCTTGTTGAGCACAAACAGTGTATTCTCCATTGAAAGGACACATTCGCCGATCGGTTTTTTTTTTTTTTAAGGACACATTCACTGTAGCGGAGATATTCGATTACAAATGACAGACGATTGAGGTGAACGTCATCAGACAAATGGGCCAGTGATATATGGGACACGATGACAGGTCACAGCAAGGCGCTATTGCGCTGATTCCAGGCCCGTCATTAAGTCCCTGTTGATTAAGTGCAGTGGGGTCTGGGGTTTAAAAGGTGGTGAGAAAATTATATGAACATTTGTTCAGTTGACGTAAATAGAAAACAATCAATCTAATGAAGAATTCTGGGGGCATAAACCCAGTGGCGTAACTAGGGTTCCTTCTAGCCGAGGCGGGACGAGAATTTTGACGCCCCTTCCAAAAAAAAACAAAAAAACAACTGAAACTGTAGTTAGCCTAAAATGCCACCCTTACTTATATAAAAAAGTGCTACCCAGGGCGTACCCCCCTCATTACCCTTTTTCTACGCCTCTGTCATAACCATTCAAACTTGACCAAAACGATGCCGGATTCGGACAAATTGGAGGTTGGGTCGACATGACATGACATTAAATGGAATGAGTCTATTTGTCAATTTGTTTTTAAATTATAATTTCTGCCATAAATTCGTAATTTTTCTCTGTAGCAAACACAACAGTTTCCATTGGCTTGAAAGCTCTCTACTCATCAACCAAGTCAACCAAGTCAACCAAATCAACCCAATCAACAAAATCAACCAAATCAACCAAATCAACCTAATCAACTTCAATAAAAGAAAAAGCTTTCAAAAGCTTACGATGTCATGTTCCTATTTTCTTTGACTTGAACGGGTCTGTAATAGCAGTGGCCAGCGGCGCATGAACTATTTCAGAAAAAAAAAAAAAAAACACACACACAGAAGAAACTATTAGACGCCCCAAACGCATGTCAATTTAAAAAACAAAGGAAAAGACTGCCATTTAGCGCAGTTCTCGGGAGTCCTAGTCGTGCCATCAATGTCATCGTGTTGCCTTCATAAACTGACTTTTGGGGGGTTGGGGGCCAAACTTTGATAGAATGTTTTGTCGTTGGCAACGAGTCTATGTGCTAATTTCAGCTCGATAGATTGATGGGATTTGGGTCGATTAGCCGTCCAAAGATTTTTTCCACCCAACCAGAAAGAAACACACAATCAATAAAAAAAAAGAGAAGTGAATATAAAGGATTTAAAAATAAAGATTAATTAGACTCTATCTTAATGAATAAAATTGCTGAAATTATTTTTTTAGGCCAGTGGAGCTTTAAAAAAAATATTTCTTGCCCTCCCTGGTGCAAAAAACCTGGCTATACCACTGCCAAAAATAGAGTTAGGAAAATGACTAAAATTTTTAAAATCTCTTCAATCAAAAAAAAAAAAAGAATAAAGAAAGAGAAAAAAAACCACCATAAAGTGCAGCCCTCCCCTCCACAACTTGTTTCCCCCAAGGGGGTGGTGATTATGGTTGGCAATTAAAATTTAATTATATGTGTACTTAAGTATTAAGAATTACAATGGGACATAACCAATGAATTTATTTTAAAGGGAGACAAAATTTTTTTTTTTTTTCTCTCTCCAAATAGCAGATAAATAAACTTCCAAAAAATTAATAGACTTATATATTTAAATTTATGACAAAATAATATTTATTTTTTATTTACAAACATTTTATAGTTAAATTTTTATATATATATTGGCTTCATATCTGTATAGGAAAGCTTGTACCGCAACTTAGTTACAGGCTTTATCAGTTGGCGCGATGAAAATTTGCTTTAGTTGGATTTTTTTGGATGTCTCAAAAAACGGAAAGAAATTATTGTCGATTTCAGGTCACCCAAGTGCAGATTTCACATAAATAATAACAGTATAGAGCAAGAAGAGACATATAAGTACCTAGGTGCTACCATTAATAATAAGCTGACATGACATGAACTCTGCCAAATTCTGTTTTTAAAAAATCATCCAAATTGAAAGACCTTTAGATCTTTAAAAAAAAAATGTACACTTTCAGCGTAAACCAACAAGTCGTTAACCTATTCTACAGTGGTGCAACAATTTGGAAGCCTACTGCTCAATTTCAGTAATGCCTGCTGGGGCGGGAATTCCTCGCCTGCCATCAAACACAGGTTAAATCGACCTATCAAGAATGCAAGTGACATCACACAAACTAAACATCATTCAATTCATCACAGATACCTAAGATCATTTCGATCAGGACGAATTCTTTCTCTTAAAGTTTGGACAGAAAGATATATAAATTACCAAACCGAATTTCCCCCCCCCCCCCCCCCCCCAAACAATTACCAAATCTAAATGATCGCTAATAAAGTCATTGTTGCCACTAAAGGAGTTCATTGATGGCTGATTTCTACGCCAGAACAATACTTTCTTGTGTTTAAATTGCTATAAGCTTTTTACCCAGTTACTGGGTTATGCAAATGAGACTGGATTTTGTGTTTTTTTTAATCGCATGATCTGCCTTTTCCTGGCGATGACTTTGACTTTGAGCAGACTTGAATTGATAGTTTTAACTGCTCACTTTATGCTTGGGAGTCAAGGTACCAGATCCAGACTTGGTAAGACCCACTGCTCTGTAAAACTTACAGGTCTCGTTTCAAAAATTTCACCGGAAGTTAAATTTACACTTGCATTTGTAGGCACTTGTAATGGCAAACGATAAGAGTGAAAAATAATAAATGTTCATTTTCTAATAAAAACCACATTGATTACATTGCTATTATTATTATGTTTTCCCTAGATGTGAAATCTGATATATTATTGGCCTTCAGTGTATGGTCAGTAAAGGCATCACGACGGGAGAGAGCCTGGTCCCTACGGAAGAAGTAGATGCATTTTAAATAATATTTTATGTGCCCGTATGGCTTCTTCTTTCACCATACAGAACAACATAGATTAATCTTGACCTGGTTAGGGGCGATCCATAAGCGCGGAGGTTGAGGGTGGTCCCTAATTTGTGACGACGTGTGATAAAAAGAGTATAATTTGTTGTAAAAAGTTGGGATGATTTTTGGGGATGGTAAAAAAAATTTGGGGGGGGGGGGGGGGAAAAAAATGCCATAATAGCGTGACATCATTTATTGATGACACCTTGGGTTTCAGTACATTAACACTGTATGTGCTAACATCGTACATCAACATTGATTAATCTGCTGTTCACCCGATGAACAATAAGGCGAAAGTAGACAAAACATGATTTCTTGGCTACTGGCATTAGTTAGGAATCAACAATAACATTAAAAATGTAAATTAATTAAGGGCTATTAAAAAAAACTAAGATTTTCTTTATTGAAATATAATTAGACTACTTATTTTAGAAAAAAAATAATATAATGTAAAAAATTGAGGTATGTCTACATTATAAATATCTTAATTCTTAATTATAGTTATGATGAGACTACATTCTACATTTTTCAGTGCCGCACGAGAATTTAAAATTAAAGACTCTTATTACATCGAATCAATAAAATGACTAATATCACTACGTAAAGGGGAATCCCAAAGACTTTTTTCTATTTTTACCTTAACGGCACACCCCTCTTTGTAAAATAAACTAGCCCGTATTCATTAGAATGAAAGCCTAGACGCTCCCACTTTAGCACATAAAAGGTAAAATCTAAGGTGAATTACTGTTAAGGTGGTATAAGGTAGATACTTCCGTATTTGAGTTAAAGCAGAGTAATTCACCACACCTTGCTCCTATTACTCACAGTTCTGCGTGTCATTGGAAAATAATGTGATTTTGTTTACCAAAGTACATTTATTTATTATTAAACTCATATTTAAGTCTTTAGAATGGCAGCTTCTTACGCAAATCGTCAGCAAAAAGTAAGTGGTCGACTTGGCAGTCAGTCACAAATGATGAACACAGCCTCACAGCCAAACTTGACGGGGACTTTAAACCGGACTCAAGTTGAACGGCGACCTGCTCAATTTATTTCTGCCAGCAGCAAAAGTCGTTTAGATTCTGACAACACTTCAATTGATGGACAAGAAAGTCCGGGAACCCTTAGGCGTAGTAGGGCCAAATCGCAAGACAGGCTCAACAGCTCAAGCGGTAGTCTCGGTGGTAGCAGAAGCAACCTTCTATCGTCAGGCCAGGAGCGACAACAGCCCAGTTCTACCAAACAACTGAACCCCAATCTAAAGCCTAGACCCAGTCTTGATGACAGCAGGGGCAACATTGTGCCGAATCCACAACTACAGCCCAACAGCCCAAACTACAGCAATGTTCAAAACTACGCCAACAATAACAATAATTATGAAAAGGATATTTACAGTAAAACCTTGCCAAGAGACAAAAGAGACTCACAGCCTAGAGGCAGAGACACACAACCTAGAAACAGAGACACGCAACCTAGAGACAGAGACACACAACCTAGAGACAGAGACACACAACCTAGAGACAGAGACACACAACCTAGAGACAGAGACTCTAGAGAAAGAGACACACAACCAAGAGAAAGAGACTCTAGAGACAGAGACTCACAACCTAGAGACAGAGATTCACACAGCAGTCACTCAAGTGTCACCAGCCAGCAAAGTGGGGCCGTGACAACGCCAAACCTCACCAGATCCACATCAAACTCATCGTCCACTACCTCAGTGGTGGACAGTAAATTTCATGAGTTTGAAAAGGTCAGAGTTGATTACCTGAGGAGAGGAAAGCTCTATGAGGACACAGTATTTTTACCTGTCAATGCGTCTGCTTATTTCAGCAGGGAGCCACCAATGGCCTTGGAATGGATACGAGCAAAAGTATGTTAATGTTATGTAATCTGATAAATAATTCCATTTTAATTAATCATGGACAGCAGTTAATTTATATGTCCAGAAATTCCCTTTTTTGACATGGAGAGTTCTTTTTCACTTTGAGAGTGAGACATTTTCATTAATAATCCAAATATAAGCTAAATAATCCTAAATTCCAAAACATTCCTACATGTGTTCCTAAACCATGATGGACCACAAAAGATTTTCCACGGGTTTGGGGGCTGAAATCATATTATATTCATAGGTGTACTGAAAAAATTTTTCCGATGTGTTTTCATTTATACTATTAATAGACCTTTTTAAATATATCGGGGTTTCCAAGTAAGTTTGTTTCTATAAAATGGCTCAAACAATTTGGGCACATGTGCTATATATGATTAAGAACAATTAAAGGTTTTGTTGAGTTTTCCTGTAGGCATTCCTAACAAAAATTTGGTCCATAATTCAAGTTCAACTCTTTCTAATTCAACATTTTTTAAAATGTATTGAGTTATGTTAGAACACGATGCACGATAAAAAAAACAAAAAAAAAGTTAAACCATTTAACTTTTATTGTTTTTACTCTCATGAAATGTTTAAGTTTAAATATTTTGTTGTTTTTAGGACATTGCACGAACAAACAGGCAGGCACCAAAGTTTATTATCAACGATATTGAGCGATTCGATGTTGTACAAGGGGAATTAGGTATGTATAAATCTGAAGGATAATTTATATTCAGCTATTTATCTAATCATTTTGTTATTTTTAACATTTTTACCAACACATTTGTCAAATAAAAGCCCTTATACGACAGGACTTATCAACTAAAGTTATGTTGCATTTTCAGTTTTATTTTTCATCGTTACAAAAATAAAATTTCCTTAATAATCTTTTTCTGAAATATTACCTTGATGTTGGTGAGCTGAGCCATCAACTTTGGGGTGAGAAGTAGAAAGTCTAGATAGATAATTTCAACGTACCGGATATCTAAAAAAAAATGTTCTCTCACCAGGGGACTGTTGGCTTGTGGCAGCCATGGCTTGTTTGGCCAACCCTGAACATCGCAACCTCTTTGATAGGGTTGTACCCCCGGGCCAGAGCTTTCAGGAGAACTGGTACTCTGGAGTTTTTCGTTTCAACTTTTGGCATTTTGGGCAATGGAAGCAAGTTCTTGTTGATGACCTGCTGCCAACATCCAACGGGCAGCTGGTGTTTGTGCATTCGTTACAGTCTAATGAATTCTGGGCTGCCTTGATGGAGAAGGCATATGCCAAGTTAGTATATTTGGGTGCTTTTGAATCTAAGTACCGGTATCAAAATTAATGAATATATTGCAATGTATTTTTATGGACGATTATACAATTTTTCTACAATTTGCATCCATCTATATGTGAGCATTATTGAAAATAACCTAGCATTGAAAATGATCTATATGTGAGCATTATTGAAAATAACCTAGCATTGAAAATTATCTATATGTGAGCATTATTGAAAATAACCTAGCATTGAAAATGATCTATATGTGAGCATTATTGAAAATAACCTAGCATTGAAAATGGGTACTTACAAAAAAGCCAAATAAAAACTATGAATGAAAATAAAATAATATGCACATATACTACTGAATAATTAACTATACTGTGTGATTTAATATGTATTATTTGGGGTTAGGTATTTAAAACCCTTTTCCTGCTTGAAAAAAAAGACATTTATCATATATTTCAGACTTTATGGCTCATATGAATCATTAAAAGGGGGTCAGATGATGGATTCTCTCACTGACCTGACAGGTGGCGTCACAGAACATTATGATATCAGAGGTCCATTGCGGGATATACCTACTAACATTGTTAACATACTTTTCAAGGCTCTTGACAGGATGTCACTCATTGGTTGCAGCATAGAGGTAAGATGCTCTCTGATTGGCCGAAGAATAAAAGTTAAGAGAAACAAATTTATTTTTTGCAATTAAGTATTTAGTACTATTAGTCTATCCTAGAAACTGAGCTGTTGTTTTTTGTTTTTTTTTGTCTTTAAGAATTGTCCTTATGCTCTCTTTTAAAGGGATCACCTCAGAAAGATCTTGGCAATGGCTTGATTGCAGCACATTCCTACAGCGTTACCGATCTTCGACATGTAAGCATATATTGTCTAATCTTACGCCTTTACTAAATGTATCATTGTATCATTTCCTTTTTTTTTGCTCTCCTTATTTTAGCAGGAGTAAAATTATTTGTGAATATTTTTTTTAATTAATCAAAATTTGTTTGTTTCATACCACCATATTTAATTCATTAAAATTTTTTTTTGTTTTTGTCAAAAATTTTGGGCATTAAAAAAAAGAAGAAATAGGTGGATTGGGGATTTTGTGTTATATTTAAAACATCATGCCTCTGTTGGACCAAAATAATATATTTACTTGCTGGTATATTTTAGATACTCGCTGGACAGCAGCCTGTCATTTTAATCAGGATTCGTAATCCTCAAGGTGAAGGCAACGAATGGCGGGGCAGATGGAGTGAATGGTAAAGACAACTCTTTCATAAGTTATTTGTAAATTTTATTTGAAGCCACCATATCATATTATGTTTTATTGCGGAATACTTTTTTTTTTTCAAGATGATTAAATTTTATTACTTGCTAATTGTCTTCGTATCTTTTTTAAAAATTTAGTATTGAATCTATTTTTAGTGAACAGTTCACAGAGGGATGAATCTGTCCAGGACAGCATATTTAGCCTTGAATTTATGTTTAGTGAAAAGTTCACAGATGAATTATGAATGAAGCTTTCTTATATTTTAATAATGGACGTAACTGAATTTAATTTATTAGAACAGCTAGTAAAATAGAGGGAAAATCATTTCAAGTTTAAACCAATTTTACAGAACTAAACGAGTAATAATATGTCCCACGTTGGCTAGTAATTTGTTTCTTTTAAATGTAATTATTGCTAAACTATAATTTAATCAGAAAACTCATTAAAATCATCACCTAGTCCATTAAATTGTATATGTTCAGGTCCCAAGAGTGGCAACAGATTTCCCCGGACAACAGAGCCAAACTTGGGCTCATTGTCAGAGATGATGGCGAATTTTGGTAATTTGGGGAATGTGTGTGGTGTAGATGTTTGTCTAATTTTTGGAATGTGTGTGGTGTGGATGTTTGTGTTTTTGATGTGATTTATTTTCCTAGAATAACAACTACTGGTACATAAATACCAATAAGTACAATACATAATGCTTCATATGTTTGTTTTAAAATTTTAGGTAACTACATGAATTGTACAAGTCTAGGCTATATATTTTGTAGCTGAAATCTTAGATAAAATATGAGGATTCTTCATGACATTATGGTAATTTTATTCTGTGCCATTAAAATTAAGAAGTATATGTTCCACCTAAGTAACAAAATAAAGTTTTTAATAAAATGAACCATTGTCTCCTATCAGGATGGACTTTGAGGACTTTTTAGGCAATTTCGATTCACTGGACATTTGCAATGTAACACCAGATGCTCCCCTTGATGTTCAGAAAAAATGGCACACTGTTGAGTTTCACGGGCGCTGGATTGAGAATTTTAATGCTGGTGGTCGACCAATTAAAGAAGGTTAGCATTTTATTTCAATATAACTTGAAATTCAGGATAGAAAAAAAAAACAGAATAAAATCCATGTATATTAACTTTTAAAGTAATATAAGTTTTAATTAAAATGCACTATAAAGGGAACAATCACATTTTCAACCATCACAACATTATTGGTTCAATGTGATTACAAAATTTATTTATTTTTAAATCATAAAATATGAAACCAAAAAAAATTATGATAGATGGAAAAAATAGTTCATAATTTAAATAATGCTTTTCAGTCACACTGTGTTATTGAAAAGTTTCAAACATCTTTTGGTGACTTCATTTTCATATTTCAATGAGCTGAATATTTTTTTAAATAATAATTTTTTCTTTAAACAATTCCATTTAAAAGTTATAACTATTTCAAATTAATATTGTCCCTGTTTCTAGATACCCACTGGTCCAACCCCCAGTATTTGATGAAACTTGAGGACACAGATGAAGATGAGGACCGTGTGTGCAGTGTTGTTGTTCAACTAATGCAAAAAGACAGGAGGCGAATCAAGCAGAAGGGAGAAATATTTTTGTACATTGGCTTCTCCATTTACCAGGCAAGTTAAACAGGATTATTTGTCTTAATGCAAAAAACACATTTCTTCTTATACCGCTTATGTAAGCTAAGAGCACAAAATAATAATTCAGCAAAGACATAAGTGTTTTGGAATTATTTTTAGTGACACCTTAAAATGTTAGTAACAAATTCTCATTATTGAGTTACTGTTGTTAAAATAGTTAGACACTCTTGCAGAAAGAAAAGGGCTACTCCCTGCCTCTGAAAAAAGACTTTTTTGATGTCCACAAAGAGGTCTACACGTCTGGTGCATTCCTCAACGTCAGACAGATCACAAAAAGGTTCTCACTCCCTCCAGGAGAGTACATTCTGGTGCCGTGTACCTGGGAGCCCAATGAAAACGCTGACTTCTACTTACGTTTTTTCTTTGAAAAGGGGAATATTGTTGAGTGAGTCAGTTTATTACTCCTTAACACTTATGGACTAAGAGATTGGTCTTTACAGTAATGAACTCTAAGAGACTGGTCTTAATAGTATGGACTCTAAACGACTGGTTTTAATTTTTTTCTTCTTAATTATTTTATACTGAAAAAAATATGCTGTAAATTGTGATCCAATTCAAATACAGAAATGTCAGGTAATTGTGGTAGAAACAGCTTGAAATAAAACATTATTTTTTTTTATCTAACTGCCTTTGGCATAAATAACTTGTTATGATTGTCTTTTTTTAAATTTAAGAGCTAATTTGTTAATAATTAATAGAGACAAAATAAAAATTAAAAAAAAACCAAATATTATCATATTATCAAGCAATTTTGCATGTTCATCAGAATGAATATTTTTAATTTGCAGGTATTGTGATGACAAACCTGAAAAAGTTGATGTCCAGCCATTACCAGTGCCACCAGATGGGAAGGCCATTGAAGAAGCTTTCAAAAGTTATTTCCACAAAGTTTCTGGGGAGGTAATAGTAATAGCAATGAGTTTTGCATTAGATATTATCATCTACCAGTTGTTGTTTGTGTTTGCTTTGGTGTAGACGTCCATGTACAGCAATGGTGTTTCTCCTCTTTTTATGTCAAGTTATCTTTATTAGATCTTGAATATTCTAATTTTTTTGGTAAAGTTTTAATTATTCATTGATGTTAACTCTTCAGGATATGGAGGTGGATTGTTTTGAGCTGAGAGAAGCTATAAATGACAGTTTAAAGAGAGGTACTTTCATATAAATAATTAAGAGCAAATAAATAATAGCCAATATGTATAATGTTATGTAAGTTTCTTTAATGTTACAAAATTACTCTTATAAAAGTATATGCCTAATCTGAAAGTTTGCTTTAAAATAATTTCATTTATTTCTAGTTCTAAGAAATCAAAATCTCTTCTTGAAATGAATTCATTTAAAAAAGGATACATTTTTAAAAAAATAAGATATTGATTCTTGCTTTACATTACCGGTATATCAGATTATCATTTTTTTAAAAGTATTTCTTTTGTTTCAGATCCCTTGCATCGAGACATCAGTTTAGAAGCCTGTAAAACATTTATAAGTCTAATGGATGTATCCTTTAAAAAAATATGCATAGCTTTGTCCAGTGATCATCTTATACAACACCTTTTTAAATATCACCTCTTGCTGTAAAGGTTTATTACATTTTTACAGAGTTTTCTTAGAACTTATTACCAGTAACTAACTTCAGGTCAAAGTGAAAAAATAATATGTCTAAACGACTCAAATAACATGGCTATTAAGAGAGGGAGAGGCACCTTGAATTAGAGTGCTTCTAATGTGACTTGAAAGAAACATAGTTAAAGTAAAACTTCATAGGTTGCAGGTCTCCCAAATTGTACACCTCTGTATGTTGTTTAAATCTTGCAGTCAGATTTACCTTAAGTTTAGCTAAGGTGGATGGTAGCGGTCGACTGGGATTCGTTGAATTTCAATTTCTGTGGAGTCATATCAGGAGCTGGAAGGTGAGCAGTAAATACAACTTCCTATTTTAAAGATAAATGGGGTTGAAACAGTTTTAGATTTAAACAAATTTTATATTTATCAAACTTATTAACTTTTTCTATCGTAGATGATTGTCATCCATTGACTTGTATTACAAAATAAGTCTATTTTGAAGGTGATCCCATTCAGTTAGAAAATTTTAAACTTAATCTTTCTTCCAGACAAAATTTTCTTGTAGATGAAATAATCTTAATTTAATTTTTCTTCCGCAGAAAATCTTCTTCCAGTTTGATACAGACAACTCTGGCCTTTTAGATGGCAGGGAACTGAGATCAGCCCTTAGTGGACTTGGTGAGTTTAAGATGAAATGATTTTTTTTTGAATTTATGGAACACTATACCCTGTAATTGTCTTATTTTGAAAAATGTGACTCATTCCATCTGTAGTATATAAGCCCTTCAACTAATTCTATTTATCGAGATATTTATTTATTTATTTATTTAGGCATTTTTATATAGCGCTTATCATAAAGCTCTAAGCGCTTTACAATTATTAAAACATGTAAACTAAGTAAATACAAATGAGACACTAGGATAGTAACTACTATTCTATAGAAACAATGAAAATGGCTATAAAACGAGGACACTTTGACACTTCAGGATCAACCCGAAACAGAAAATGAGGTAGGGCAAGGAGGGTGCATCACAGGTCATAGGCGGACCTAAACAGATGAGTTTTAAGGGACTTTTTGAAAATGGACGAGGTTTCACTATGACGTATATGGAAGGGGAGCTGGTTCCAGAACGTGGGCCCATGGAAGCAGAAGGAGCGTTCACCGATGGTCTTAGTTTTAGTTCTTGGGATTGAGAGGGTTCTACTGTCAATGGAAGAACGTAGTTGTCTTGTGGGGATGTAAGGAAGCAACAGTTCAGAGAGATAGACAGGAAAGTGAGGGTCAGTGAACGAGTTGAAGCAAAGTTTGGCAGACTTGTATTTGATGCGAGAGGATATTGGAAGCCATTGGAGTTGCCGCATGTGTGGTTGAATGTGGTCATGTTTCTTTGATATCTGAGATATACAAGCAAACTTATTGAAATCTGAGCTTATTTTCCCTTTGGGCATAGAATATACATTAAATCATTAATTAAGAATAAGATTAATTAGGTAAAATGTAAATAATTAAAAGTATAATTCTGTCTGTCTCCAGGCTACAAAGTGACCAACAAGTCGTTGGCCTCATTGTTGTTCCGTTTCGCTGACCAAAACGGAAAGATAAATCTTGATGACTTTCTCATTTTGATGGGGCGACTGATGAAATCTTTCAGTAAGACCTATGACATTTCCATGTCTTTTGTCCCGCTATGCTTAAAAAATTCATCCTTCTTAATTCCATTAAATTCCTACTCAAGAATATCCAGACACCATTTGTTTTATTGCATGACATAAGACAAAGATGCCGAGTCTTCAAATTGCAACGATTCTCACTCAAAGGTTTTACATCTCACAGTGTTCAAATTGACTCCATACATTTTTAAAAAATGAACTGTAGGCTGAAATATATACTTTTATTTAATTTTTAAAAAAAGAGCCTGAGAAATAGTTGTGAGTTTGACTTTGAAAAATAGTTATGACTTGAGAAATAGTTATGACTTGATCAATAAAAGAAAATGAAAAGTCAAATTTAAAACACTTCTAATACTTTCTCTAAATTTATTCCAAATGTATTCCATATTTTTTCATTTCAAATGCATTAAATTATTTTATTTAAATTGTATTTCATATACCGCTATAGTAATATTAATTATTAATTTAAAACCCATTACTTATGTATTTAAATGTGCAAGGCTTATATTGGAGATCAACCTGACAATTTTCTTCAACAGATTCATTTCATGAATACCAGAAGGACGGTTCAGCCACCATCTCATTAGAACAGGTAAATTTTTCATTAGAGCAGGTAAATGCTAGAGACTCATTACTTTTCTTTATTTATTATCTAAAGCAATCTCTGCCTGTATTTCTACAGCATTTGTCATTCTCCTAGTCCTAGAGAGAAAAACTGGATTCCCTATACCTCATTTTAAGAAAAATGTAATCCCACCATTCAGTTAAAACATTAATTCATTTGACCTTGACCTTTCAGTGGCTTGAGAAGAACCTGGTTTGATTGATGCAGTTATTTATGGCAGTGGACACAATCAAAGTCAGCAAAGACCAAACAGCTTGAACAAATTTTGGGGATTAATACCAGTACTTTATAAATTTATTATTTTATTTTTAAAAAATTATTTTTTTTAAGAAGAGGAGAATAATGTTCATGGTAATATTAGCCAGCGTGAGGGTCATCATTTTTCCTAAAGTTATATTAACACACCTATTTGCACCGGTATGTAGCCAAATTAACTTTATAAAGATTTATTTAAAGTTTATGTACATAAAAAGAACCAAGTCCTTAACTTTTACCAAGTGAGAATACTATTATAACATTCCTTCCCAAAATCTATGTATTGTATTTCGTACAAAAGTGGGTAAAATGAAGATCTGATATTTGATAACTCAGAAAGAACACTGGAATTGAAAATTGAATGGAAATGAATTAAAAAATTTGTTTAAAGTTAAGTTGCATTAATTTGTAGTCAATGGCATTACTCTTACTGAGAGGGTTCTTAACTTATATGGCCTCTTTACCCAGTTGTACCCATTATTTATAAAAAGGTTGAAAACAGCCATTTATTTTCATTCGAGTGGCCATTTATATTTATATCTTTTTTTTAAATGTGTCATGTGAGTATGTAAGCACATACTTTTTTTAAAATGATTATTTCTATATTTACATTATGTAAGTAACACTGCCCTGTTTATCGTTGTTTTCTGAGATCATTTCTGATCTTATACCAGTATTCAATCCTCTTATCTCCACTGATTTGTTTTTACCATGAGTCCTATTTGGCATGAACTCAGAACATTAGTATTTTTTATGGCTTTTACTTTTAGCTTTAAAAAAGTGTAAACTTGTTTTTTTTTAAATCTTTTTTTTTTTTCTATTATAGTTATAGTCATATCATAACCATTTAATCTCATTGATTTGAAGAGCATAAACCGACTTTGGGAATATTAGGAATTCCAAAGTAAAATATATATAATAAATTATATACCGGTAGTAAGAATTAGAACTATGCAATGAAAGGTCATATTTGTATTTAAACATTAAAAAAATCATAAAGGGCCAATTTTTTCTTTTGTTATCTAATTTACTGTGCTTCAAGCAGGTGAAACCCAGGTGATGAATTTTTTCAATTTGACACTGAACTTGGAAATGACCACTGAAAAATCCAAGAATTAGGCTAAGAACAGTATTTATAGTTTGTCTCTATCAAATCAATTCTTTTATTTGTAGTGACTATAATTCACACGTGGATAAGAGTGACTATAATTCACACATGGATAAGAGTGACTATAATTCACACGTGGATAAGAGTGACCATGTGGATAGGTTTTACAAATAAAACAAATACTCCTGCCCAAAAATATTGATTCTAATTGATACCTGGTCACATTCAAATTATCCCTATAAAATTTGTTAAATTGTTTGGTAAAGAGGGATTGCACTACCTAGGCCAAGGGTCCTGTGACGTTCAGCTTGGCTTGATGATCAAGTCCTGCATTGCCATCGAGAAGTTACGACTCGTGATAAACATGTTGTCTTATAGTATATCTTTTCTCTGCTCCTTTTGTTAACAATCCTTCCACACACACACACACCCACACCCCCACTCCCCCCCCCCCCCCCAAAGCAAAACTTTGCCCGATTCATTAAGTAAAAAATTTGCACGTCGTTGTAACAGAGCAGTTGATGAACTTTGCATCATCTTAACTGTTTAGTAACATGATCAGCTTATTCTAATTACATAATTCTCTATGTTACAATGCCATTAACGCTACCAGATTGCGCCGATTTCATAAAATAAAATTCCTGATAAATTTTTAAATTGAGATTCTCAAAAATACAGCAAGTGCATTTCTTGCGTAATATTTTCTTTTGTTTTATGGAAATAGTTGGTGTAATAAATCTGCGATATATAAGGGGGTTGGATATTAGAATATTATATTAATAGAGTTCAGGGGGGATGACAAGAAACTAGTTGGGAATCTTATAAGTCTTACTTGAATGCATGTTTTGTCAAGTAACTTTAGTAGATGGGAAGTTTGTGGATTGCTGCTGTTTATAGCTAGTTTATATATCGGTATATAAATAATATAATAAATATATTGGTTTTCAATGCAAGATTCACAGAGATGAACAAATTGAAAAAAAGGAGGAATGAACAAAACAGACTATCAAAATTGGATTTGATATTTTCTGATTATTCTGTTTACTTATTTGTTTATGTGGTGCATTCAGCTCAACAAGTTCAAGAATTTTGTACATTTATGGAATATGCAGAAATTTTTAGCACATTTCATAAACCTATGCAGTTATATTTTCTTGTAATTACTTGTATATTGGGTGCCAGAACAAAGGGGAACACCATTCTCAATGCAAAGTGCAAGGTTTATTTAATCGTTCGGAATGAAAATATTGTGCGGTTGTTGTCTTCTGTCATCCATGTAAGGGGGTCATTCGCAAATTACGTCACGCTCAGGGGGGTCTAGAATGTGGGGCAGGGGTAAAAAATTTGTGACGTCGCACATTTTTAATTTCTTATTAAAGATCTAAAATTGTCTAATTCTGAAAAATCTTTATTCCATTAATTTTAACAAAAATTAATTTGAGGTCAAAATTGCCTCAGATATAATAAGTACTGTGAAACTCATATAGAAAAATGATGCAAAAACTGTTGGGGCCATTTTACATTTGGCTCAGGGATGACTTCGTTGTTTTGTGTTTTATGCCAGTTTTCTAATAATAGATCTTAATCCACTATGGGACAATGTTAAAGTAAAGAATAAAATAGAATCTTAGTTTAGTTATGAAAATTTCATGTATGTTTTGAATTTTTTTTAGGTGTGATGGGACACTAAGGGGAAGAGAGAGGGGGGGCAAGTGGTTGTAAAAATTTGTGACGGGGAGGGCAGGTCTGAAAAGGTCATTTTTGGTGAGACGTAATTTGCAACGACCCCCTAATGTTGTCACCCATGTAATGTTTTCATCCATGTTACTAGCAATCGACTCTCTGACTCCATTCCAGACTAAAGTAAACACCTTCCATTACTATACAAACAAATCTTTTATTATTATTATTAGTTTGACTGATGTTTTTGTTAGCATTCCCCACATATTGCATAATTGCATTTATCATCCTGAAGCAATGCATAACGTCATGAGCTCATTGCTTGAGATAATTTATATGTGTGATAATGATAACAATTTCTTAATGTGCCCTCTTTCTATGAATATGTTGATATTTACGCATGCATTTTTTCCTAATCAGATTCTATTACAGTCTTGATTTAAATAAAGTTAGTTTTATTGTAAATTCCTTTTAAATCCAGCGGGTCACAATAGTGAAAAATTGTGTCAGAGTAGAAATTGATGTAGATAAAATTATTATCATCAGGTCTCAAAGGAAAGGAAGAATGGTATTAAATGAGGATTAATCTTATGCATTATTTATGATATTTTATAGACTAATAGGATTAAATGAGCTTTGATCATATGCATGATTTATGATATTTTATAAGACTTGAAATTTGTTAATAAATTACTAAACATTTAATGGAAATATGCACCTTTCACAAGACATTTCAGAATTGCCAAAATTAAATAATTTAAAAAAAAACTATTTTAGATGTACATAAAATTGTACTCATTGACCCCTTGTCAAAGATCAAATGGCAATACAAAAAATTAATTTATTCTCTTGTTTAATCACCTCTCATATCTCCCCACATAATTTTTAATTTGTTCACATGCAGAATAAATTAATCTTCCAAATGGAAAACATTTGAATCAGTGCCTGCAATTTACAAAATAAATGTATTTTTTAAAATATGATCTAATGATTGATATCACAATCAACGGACTGAATAAATATATATATATTTTTTACCTTACAAAACATGACCACCAACCAAAACAATGAAATATTTCCATAAACATTCTTCATTTTATTTTTACATTAAAAAATGTGTTTTGCATTTGGTCTAGTGACTCCTGGGTGTCCACTTTTACCTAATAATGTAATTATTTTCATGATTCACAATTTATTCTAAAAATTGTTTAAAAACGAATCAATAGAAATTAGATTTTGTAGAATTGTTAGTTTTTAAAATTCCCTGTGGTACAATAGGTTTAGAAGGTGGGTTTTGTTTTATTGCCCTTATTCTGAACAATTGCAAAAGTTCATTTAATGAGGTCGAGATTTGTTATGTTTTTTTTTTCATATTAAGTTTATTATAGTTATAGTTAACACTGCTGCTGTGGCATGGTCAACTCAGCTTAAATTTATGACATCAAGTTGAATTTTCTGTGGGTATATCTTAAATGGCCTTGGCTAGAGTTATATTGCTCAAACAAATGTAATGTTTACCATGTGTAACTTGAGGTATTTTAAAATATTAGAAACAATATTGGAATTTTTCTTTGATACTTAAAAAAAAATATTATAATTTTGCTTTGTTCATTCCATATTGTAAATGGCCCATCCTATAACAACTAATTAACACACATACTCTGGTGGGGGTTCGAGCTCCATCAGCTGGACTGTGCCGTGTAACATTGTCGTGACGTAGGACCCTCCCGCCGCCCTGGCCTCCCCCTCTACATCTAGCGCTGGGCATTCAGTTAACAGATGCGCTAGAGTTTCCGAGACCAGGCTGCAATGCCGAGAGGTGGGGGTCTCTGCTGTCGTCTAGCCTGTGAAAGTATGTGTTGATAGGGAAATGCTCCTATAACAACTAGGACAATCAATGTTAAAGATATCCGTACAGCCCAAGGTTGATACAACATTAAGTAATCAACTTGCACTGACATTTGAGTTATTGGAATTAGTCGATCTTCCCTTGACAAACACAATGTGAGAGCCTTGAACCCTGATTTCTCTTATTTATTATTAAAATGTATTACGAATGTCATGATAAATTTTACAAATACTTTGTTAAAAGAAGAATGCCCCCTTGTGAGATGGTGGCATGGCCAACTCAACTGTTGATTTTGTTAAAGCAATGGTAGCCAAGTCATTGTAGCAGTACTGTAATTACTTTAATGTCCCAGTGGAGAGTAAATCATTGTACCATGTGCATTATACATTCCTGCACTTGTGCATGTATTAAAATATTTATTCTTTAAAGATTTTCTGTTTTCATATTTCATTAAAATATTTGTTAAAAATATTCAAGATCATACGTCATTGATGCGCTGTCATCAATAAAGATGTTACAGTGAAAGTACAGTTAAAAATATTACATTAAACATAACATTTAAAAAATGGACCAAATAAAAGCCCCAAAAAAAGGTTTGGATAAATCCATTGTTGCAAGGATCAAATTTTCATCCATTGTTGCAAGGATCAAATTTTTATCCATTGTTGCAAGGATCAAATTTTCATTCATTGTTACAAGAATCAAATTTTCATCCACTGTTGCAAGGATCAAATTTTCATCCACTGTTGCAAGAATCAGATGTGTATTTTCATTTTAAAATCTGCTCAAATTTAAAAATATTACAGTAACCCAAAATAACTGATGCACAGACAAATTATTATTTGCACCTAAAATATTTTCCATCATCTGGTGAGAATGTTGCAAAGGTCGAAGGTCTCAACCGCTGTACAGATGGCATTGTCCAACTCTGACCAACTGTTCCCCAAGGTCTCCGGGCAGTCTAGCTGTGATCCTGTTTTAAATAAGAGAATGAAGATTCTGGCCCTGTACACCTGGTGGCACAATGACATGTAGCGACCACAGTTTAAGTAGCGGTCAGTCTTAATGCAACTGTCCAGCATTCGGTGGAGTCCCTCGGTTAACAAAACCGTTTTATCGGACACATAACTCCTAAATTGTTCATCAGTGAAGCAATCTGACAATTTTTTAGACAGGTGGTCAGCATTGATCTTAATGTCTAAAATATCTGAAGAAAAGTTCAAGAGCTTTGTGTTTTGGTGGTCCTTGGCGTCAACACCCAACACAGCTGTCAGATTGGAGGCTATGCTACGTGTGAATGCTACAGGATCCAAATATGTGTTCATCTCTCCTTTATCAAAAAGTCGTTCACTTGTTTCCTGCAGAAAAGAGCAGATCATGTCTAAAATTATATTCAACAATCTAAAGCATCATACTAACACGACTAACATAGCAAATATCCAAATGAATTTTGTACAATAAAACAAAAAATAAATCATTCAACCATCAGAACAGTAAAAGAAACAGAGCTTAGGGGTGGAATGTCTGGTGGGATGTCTGGTGGGATGTCAGGTGGGATGCCAGGTGGGATGTCAGGTGGGGTGTCTGGTGGACAGCCTTGTGGGTCGCCAAGTGCTGGGATATTTGAGCCCCTTCTAAGTTCTACAATGCGATAAAACTTGTGTATTAAATCTCTACTTAAAGATTTGTGTAGACATTCCAGTCACCACTGACAGAGTATCACAAGACAGTTGAATGACATGGGGGGATGAAAGACACCCAGCCCACCACTGGCCTAGTGTCACAAGACATTTGAATGACATTGGGGTATGGATGACGCCCCAGCCCACCACTGGCCTAGTGTCACAAGACAATTGAATGACATTGGGGTATGGATGACGCCCCAGCCCACCACTGGCCTAGTGTCACAAGACAATTGAATGACATTGGGGTATGGATGACGCCCCAGCCCACCACTGGCCTAGTGTCACAAGACAGTTGAATGATGGAACCAAACATATTGTGCGTTACATGCAGTTTCGTTGACAAGATTTACAAGTGGCTGTTACAGATTCAAACAGTCCCTCTTAAAGTTAAATATTGTCACTAAAGGAGTGAGCATTTACGTTACATCGTGGCTGATTTTTGCCTTTGAGAAATAAATTTGTTGTCTGGTTTTTAAAATTGTTTTAGCTTAACTATGTTGCCTTGGTACGAATATTTATCCATGTGCGGAAAAGGAGTACCAGTTTATACAATGTAAGCAAAAACACATTTCCATTTTTTTTTAAATCAATGAAAGAATCCAATCTAATACAGTCTGCCTAACCTCCCTTTTTAACAAGCACGTCGCAAGACTTGAGTAGCAATACTTGATGGTTAGCCTTCGATTACTATGGCATGTCTTATTAAGTTAAGTTACAAGCTGCCAGAATAAATCTGTAGGAAGATACATTTCCAAAACTAGACCTAAATGTTGTGTGTGACTTTGAACATTCAACAAATGCTCTCTAATGTTGTGTGTGACTTTGAACATTCAACAAATGCTCTCTAATGTTGTGTGTGACTTTGAACATTCAACAAATGCTCTCTAATGTTGTGTGTGACTTTGAACATTCAACAGATGCTCTCAAATGTTGTGTGTGACTTTGAACATTCAACAGATGCTCTCTAATGTTGTGTGTGACTTTGAACATTCAACAGATGCTCTCAAATGTTGTGTGTGACTTTGAACATTCAACAAATGCTATCTAATGTTGTGTGTGACTTTGAACATTCAACAAATGCTCTCTAATGTTGTGTGTGACTTTGAACATTCAACAAATGCTCTCTAATGTTGTGTGTGACTTTGAATGTTAACAAATGCTCTCGTTGGGTTGATAGGAGCTCTTCACAAATCCGAATAAAACTGACCTTAACATCCATGCTGGAGTCATCCATAATCCATCCCAGCAAGCATGTGATGACTCCTTTGAGATTCCTGTCCCCAAAATTGAAGAGTAGCACACTTGGCAGAGAAAACAAAGCAAAACAAGGGTGGTAGGCTCCTGGAAGATTTCATGAAAATACAAGATGAGGTCAATGTATTTCAGCATTTATATTTTAATACTTTTACAAAATGAAGTACCGGCACTCATGATTGTACCGTTTAATCTCTGTCAGTAGTCTTTATAATAAATTTTAGTATTACATTAATTACAATTATAAACTTACAATTAAAGATTCACTTCAGGAATATATTAAAATAGTAATGCAGTAAGCAGATATAATAATATACAAAAATATTGGAAACCCAAGTTCTATTAGTTGCATCACCCCAGAAGAAAAATTTTGTTTTTAAAGAGACCCCAAGTGGCCATACAGGCAAGGGGAAATCCCTTATAGCCCACAAGTTTCACACCCATGCAATGGTGGATCGAAAAGGTTCACAGTTGCGTTGCAAGATTTTATCATGAAAAGGAATAACACCAAAATATAAATAATATAAATAATATAAATATAATGTAAAATGTATTTGAGCATTTTACTCAAAATAACATCGGCTTCTAAGAATTGTTTTTGTCAGACTCAGATTAAGATTACATCTCAAATATTGAGACAGAACTGTAAACATCAATAACATTTGATCCAAATGGACCTCTGAGCAGCTGACACTGTCTCTGACCATGTCAGTAGTTCCTACAATGTACCTGACTTGAGTCCTCGCAAGGCGCACACTACAGATGCCGCCACTTCCTTGACCTCGAGGTCATCTTCTTGCAACAGGCTTGCCAAACTGTCCCAGCAGTTAAATGTCATGTCTCCTATTAGAAACCAGAACAGCTATTATCAGACTTCATCAAGATGTCAAACAGCTGATTCAATTTTGTTTCATTATGGCCTCATTGTAGTCAATACTATCTAATTTTAGCCTTTACTTCTGGTGGAAGTAGTCAATACTATCTAATTTTAGCCTTTACTTCTGGTGGAGGTAGTCAATACTATCTAATTTTAGCCTTTACTTCTGGTGGAGGTAGTCAATACTATCTAATTTTAGCCTTTACTTCTGCTGGAAGTAGTCAATACTATCTAATTTTAGCCTTTACTTCTGGTGGAAGTAGTCAATACTATCTAATTTTAGCCTTTACTTCTGGTGGAGGTAGTCAATACTATCTAATTTTAGCCTTTACTTCTGCTGGAAGTAGTCAATACTATCTAATTTTAGCCTTTACTTCTGGTGGAGGTAGTCAATACTATCTAATTTTAGCCTTTACTTCTGGTGGAAGTAGTCAATACTATCTAATTTTAGCCTTTACTTCTGGTGGAAGTAGTCAATACTATCTAATTTTAGCCTTTACTTCTGGTGGAAGTAGTCAATACTATCTAATTTTAGCCTTTACTTCTGGTGGAAGTAGTCAATACTATCTAATTTTAGCCTTTACTTCTGGTGGAAGTAGTCAATACTATCTAATTTTAGCCTTTACTTCTGCTGGAAGTAGTCAATACTATCTAATTTTAGCCTTTACTTCTGGTGGAGGTAGTCAATACTATCTAATTTTAGCCTTTACTTCTGCTGGAAGTAGTCAATACTATCTAATTTTAGCCTTTACTTCTGGTGGAAGTAGTCAATACTATCTAATTTTAGCCTTTACTTCTGGTGGAAGTAGTCAATACTATCTAATTTTAGCCTTTACTTCTGGTGGAAGTAGTCAATACTATCTAATTTTAGCCTTTACTTCTGGTGGAAGTAGTCAATACTATCTAATTTTAGCCTTTACTTCTGGTGGAGGTAGTCAATACTATCTAATTTTAGCCTTTACTTCTGGTGGAGGTAGTCAATACTATCTAATTTTAGCCTTTACTTCTGGTGGAGGTAGTCAATACTATCTAATTTTAGCCTTTACTTCTGGTGGAGGTAGTCAATACTATCTAATTTTAGCCTTTACTTCTGCTGGAAGTAGTCAATACTATCTAATTTTAGCCTTTACTTCTGGTGGAAGTAGTCAATACTATCTAATTTTAGCCTTTACTTCTGGTGGAGGTAGTCAATACTATCTAATTTTAGCCTTTACTTCTGCTGGAAGTAGTCAATACTATCTAATTTTAGCCTTTACTTCTGGTGGAGGTAGTCAATACTATCTAATTTTAGCCTTTACTTCTGCTGGAAGTAGTCAATACTATCTAATTTTAGCCTTTACTTCTGGTGGAAGTAGTCAATACTATCTAATTTTAGCCTTTACTTCTGGTGGAAGTAGTCAATACTATCTAATTTTAGCCTTTACTTCTGGTGGAAGTAGTCAATACTATCTAATTTTAGCCTTTACTTCTGGTGGAAGTAGTCAATACTATCTAATTTTAGCCTTTACTTCTGGTGGAGGTAGTCAATACTATCTAATTTTAGCCTTTACTTCTGGTGGAAGTAGTCAATACTATCTAATTTTAGCCTTTACTTCTGCTGGAGTTTTTATGTGTAAATATTTAAAGCAACCTAATTATAAAATGGCATTAGTGAAGATCAATTCCCCCCCCCCCCCTTTTCCCTGCCACTCCATATTCATGTTTGGGTTGTTTATACAGACAAAATTAATTGGGTCAACAGATGAAAATTGAAATGAAAATCTACTCAATAAATATAAAATAGTAAGCTGAAGTCTGGCACAGAAGTATGACGTGCCAAGTAAATTTACAATTTAGATGGATGCAATCTATATATTTTTAAAACACATCTGTTTAAATGTACGGTACTTAATTACGTTTAAAGCCTTCATATAAACTGAGCAATAGACAGACAAACTCAGCAATAGACAGAAAATTTCATTTTGCCATATTAAGGGCATTTAACGACCACCATACAACATAAAAGAGTAAAAGTGGAGATGAAGAGGAATTGTGTGAGTATAAGATAAAGTGGGAAATGTGAAGCCTGGAAGGAAAAGGGAGGGGAGGGGGTGTGTGTGTTAGTCTGTCATAATGAGGAGACTCATCCCTCTTGTTTCTCGAAAAATATCCCAACTTTACAGTTTGATCTTGTCAGTAAGAATCCCCTAATTTAACTTTTCCTAGATCTTATAATCACACAGATGAATGAACAATTTAGATTCTAGTAGCTTGTGATCACAAAGATTATACCTCAAATAATTTCTATCTTATTATATGCCATACACATAATAGCTCACCTAATATATTTTTAGAGTCCATCAGCACAGTTCTAACATTGTCCAGCAACACATGACAACAGCTGATCTGCAAGTCAGGGCTGTCATCAACAACACTGTAGGACTTGATCATCTTTGTCCACACTGACAAGATTTGCAGATCTTGAGCAGACACATCATCATCCAGTGACAGGGCCAATTTGTCATAGAGCACAGACACCAGGTGGCCAGAGAATCTCAAGATGGCTGCCCTTACTTCAAGCCTGGTGGGGGAAATAATTCACGTGCTATTTATCTATTCAACAAATAATTTTTTTTTTTAAATGATTTGAACATTAAAAATAGTGTCCCTTGCTATTTTTTTAAAAAAATGGATTTTGTTTTCACTAGAAACAAAGCTAATTTGCTACCAATTGTCAAACTAATTAGTCAAATTTCTCCAAGAGGATAAAAAGATATTATAGATAATCAAATCTTGTTGGGTGAATAGACTTGAGCAATAGTGAATACACATTTTAACAAGTTTATGCTCTGCCATGTTGTATCGGTTGTTTGATATAATATCAGAACAGAGGACCATGTTGGCTCTATTTTGTGTGGTTCGGCCCAGCAGATGATAAAGGAGACCATACGAGACCATAAAGAGCAATCAGGAGTATGAACAAGTACAAGTTACTCCAGCCTAAAGATTGTCCTAAAAGTTCTTACCTTCTCTCTCTAGTCATACGGTCATTAAACTTTTGAAGAATCTAATTGGAAGGGGAAAAAAACCACATTTAATTAAAATTAGATTCTAAAATAAAATGTCATGATTTTCAATGTCTACTAATATAATTAAAATAAATTAAAGTTTTTTTTCTCCCCTTTCTTTGCTTCTTTTCCTTTCAAAATTAATTTTTTTTATTTAAATTTTTCTTTTATACCTCATTTAAGGTTTGCAAATCCTTCATTGCCAGGTTTTCGTTACAAGTTGGGATTGATGCCATAACATAGAAAATCTGAAAAATCATAGGACAGTTTATAAATCATTTTCAGTACTTAACAGTTTTTTGGTGTGTTTATTTAAAGAAACAAATCAACACACAAACTCATGTCAACTTTTACCTTTTTCAGGGTAGCAAAAATAACTTATTGGTGACTAGCGAAGATATGTGAAAAACTTGGATTAAACAGAAACCATTGGGGAGCTTAGGGGAACTTAGCTTACCTTCTCCAAACACTGGTGGTGTTTCTCCGACTGCAGTGCTATATTCAGCAATGGGCAAAACAACTGACCGATGAGACCTTCTAAAGCAGCTTTGTTGAGCCCAATGACCATCCTGCCACTTGAGGTGGGGCATTCATCTTGGTCATACCCAGGTCCATCCAGGACAAGGTCATCCACATCAATTTCGTGATCAGATCCATTCAACCCCATCACCCTTTGCAAGGTCTCCAGGACACCAAGTCTAACCTCATAGATGGGAGACTGTAAAAGATCTAAAATTACCCATCTTGCATTTTTGTACTGTCCTATGCCCTTAAAATCCTTTTCTGAATCATCATTTGATCTGCCTAAATCTTTCAAATGACCCTCTGCCCAATTAAACATGGCCAAATATTTCAGGCAGAGTCTGGCTCTGGTTTGCTCCAGGTCAAAATACAAAGGTTGCCAGAAGAGTTCAGGACAGCTGCCTCCCTTGAGCAGTGAAGTGAGAAAAACTGATTTCAGCTCAGGTGCAGACTCTGGTCTCCCACAGGCCTCTGTCAAATCCAGAACCATATCGACTAGGACTAGAGTTGATTGATGGGTGGCAAAGCACCGGTTGGTACTGAGGAAGTTGGCAAAAATTTGTTATCAGATAAAAGTGTTTTCATAACATGTCTTTAAGAAACCATGAATAAAATTGATTAGAAATTGGCAAATCCAGGAATGGCCCAGATATGATGAATGCTGACTTGTGTGTTTTGGTGAATACATATATAACAACAATTATGTAAGCATCCATTAAGATTCCTGCACCAAATCTAAAAAAAAAAAATCCAGGAGTTATCTAGGACAATATACAAAATTCCAGGACATTTATACCGGTAAAAATTTTTTAAATCCTAAACGTATAAAATATATTTGTAGTAACTGGACATAAATGCACTAGCATAATACTTACTCTATGGACTACTAAAGCAATTATTTGATTTAATGATACTCTGAATCAAGCAGCATAGATACTCTGTACCCATTTACACACACACATTTTATAAGATGCTCTTGATGCTTCAAAAATAATCCAATGAATCAACGTAGTTCCAATGATTAAGGCACGAGTCAGTAGTAATGAATTCTCCATGGTACACAAGAGGAAATTTTCAATAATTGAATCAGCATAGATTCATAATGAGTCAGTAATAATAAATTCTGCATGGATCACAACTTTGGGGCTATTGTCAATAACTGAGGCAGCATAGATACTCTGTACCCATTTATACACAAAAATCTTATAAGATGCTCTTAATGCACCACAACAAAGTAACAACATTTATAAAATAATCCATTGACTGAGCCTAGTTCCAATAATTAAAGTAGGAGCCAATAGACTCAGTCATAAATTCTGCATGGTACACAACTTTGAAGCTATTGTCAAATAAAATAAATTAATTCAGCATAGTTCTATTTGATATAAGTATGAGAAAAAATGTTCCACTAAAACACAGAAGTCATTGATTTTGAAGTTAAAGTCGTCCGATTTCTTGAGCTTTGAACTCTATTTCTTCAGTCCACCTTTTGACTGCTTCCATTTTTTCTCTTGCTGACCGTCGCAAAGCGTTCGACTCTATCAAATGACCGTCGCAAAGCGTTCGACTCTATCAAATGACCGTTGCAAAGCCTTCGACTCTATCAAACATTTGTGTCAATTAGTCTTCTCTGCTTTTTCTGCCAGTTTATCTGCAGAGTCTGTCAGCAAAGAAATGTCTTTCTCCATCCTTGACTTCTTACTCTTTAAAGTTTCTAGCAAGGAAAATTCATCGTTTAGCTTTCTTTTACATCAGCATACCACTTGTAATGGTATGATTTTCAAGCTCTTGGATGCTTACCAAATTGTCACAAATGACTCGCTTAACAGTCAGGGCCCTCTCAATCATAATTGTTGTATGGTCTCCTTGTTGAAACTAAACCCACGTTCAACTTGTACCTGACCGTGAGACAGCAAAAGAAGAGAGCACATCACCTTCCACATGTCGGAATATTCTGGTTTGCCCCTAAATGCTCAGAATAGAAAATATCGAGATGTTGAGAATTAGTTTCAAAACTCTGGAAGGCAATAGAGTGCTCAGAGACAACTGTGGTGTGCCATTGAAGAAATTGTGACTTAATGGAGTCACACATATTTGCATCAATACGTTTCAGGGAGACCAGACAGCCCAGAGTTATATCAAGCTGATGGAGACAGGTGCTGTAGTCTTCTACAATCGCTTTGGGCTGCATCCATTTTAAAGTCCTTATTATTTTACTTTTAATGGGTGATTTTTCAATAAGCCTTCCTGCCAATATTTAAAAAAATTCTCAGCACTGTAATCTAAAATTTAGATTTTCTCTAGCACTCACATTCTTTGAAGCTTCTTTAATAATCTTATTGGACTTGAAGCCTATATCGATTTTTCCCTACTCCAGCATATTTTCCGATTGGGAGAGGATGCAGTAGTACAACCACTTAAAATAATGCTGGGCACAAACCTTGGTCAGACTGACCCAATCATGAGGTGAAGGTCATGTGCAATAAATGGCAACAATGGAGCATCCTTCTGAGACTTTGTTAAAAAAGGTTGAACTAATTTTGCATTAGAAATAAATGACTCCACCTTTGCCACCAATAATTCATCTTGGCTGCATGCTTTTAAATGTTCAAACGATTTTGTGTGCAGGGATTTCTTTGTGGTCATTAGATGTTGTATGAATTTTTTAACATGAGGCCACATCTTTAAAGCTCTCTCCACAACAGGTATATTTTCAACCCAGCGATCAGAGCAGTGGTCTAACGGAAAATCTGTGCAGCCAGTTTCTATAATGAAGTCTTCTCATCTGGCAGGTGTATCTTTGAACAGCCAAGACATTGATGAGAAAAAAATGGGATAAATCCCAATAGGTCGCAGCATGCACAGCACTAAAAGCATTGTGGATTGTGTGAAGATCACAGCTGCCAATGTCAATAAATTTAAAACCTGCAGGAACTTGTCTTTCTATATCCTCACTGAGTAACTTAAATAAAGACCAGTTAACATTGGGACCATCCATTGATATTTGAATTATCTTCCTGGTATCAACATCCAACTGCTCCTGAATTTTGTCAAACATATGTTGAGCGGTGGCGTGGCCTAGAAATTCTGAACTGTAGTATCTAGTTATAACCTTAGAAGTTTGAGATGGAAATTTTACAAATATTAAAACAAAGTAAAATTACAATGAAAGCAAAATATTTAGCAATTAAGGTCGGCCTAATATTTGTAAATAAAAGAATAAATCTATAATTAGCTTTTAAAATAATTCAGTCATCCTTAACTTAAAAGACAAGGATTGTGCAGACATGCCTACGCCAAACATGATAGTTTCAATTTTACTTTTATTTAATATAGGTCTCATTATATTTTTAGCTCTAATTAGTACAGATCTGTACAATACAATACAAAAGAAATAAATATCAAGTAAAAAAAAGTATAGTGAACAACACGGAATAAAAATACTTACATGATCTCCATCTCAACATCTATCATGAATATCCATCTGCTTTTTATTTAGTTCTCTGTTCGATGTTTCGTCAAACAACAGCACAAAGCCATCTTCTGAAGAGCCAAGTCTTTTCTTTAAAAGCTCTTTAAAATATGACCCTAGTCCAAAACTGACAAAATAAGCTATTTCGTCAGCTCCGCATGTACATTTTTTGGCTATGTCGCTGTCAGGAAACATTTGTACAAATAAATTTAATTAGAGATATTTGCACTGCTGTTGTATGAGTAATGAGGGGATACCACTTTCAAAGTCCACAGAATCATAGCTCTTAGTGTTTCATCTGTTGTAACAGCCGCTCTGAATGATGGTGAGGAAAGCTTAGAGACTGTGGTCACAGATGATGTTGGCATATTTGGAGATGGTGGTAGCATACTCATACCTGGACCACCTAATGACATAGTTTTAGACGTCGAAACTGGGATCATAGAGTCAGATGATGTGGCAGTTGGTGTCTTTAACATAGACATCAGTGACACACAGCCAGCCCCCTTCTTCGAATTTAGCTCCTGTCTAATTGATTTCATATGAGATCTTACAGCAGACTCTCCCATATTTGAAATGTCAAAGGTCTTCAAACAAATACAGCAAAATGCCTTACTTGGTTGTGACGCCTTTTGTAACCATGACTTAAAACCTTCGTTCTCGAGCCACAAAGGGTTAAATGATGTAGTGTATTTAGGCATGATTTGATGATATGGATTAAAATTACAAAATCATCAATAACAGCAGATTAAATATGCCGATGAAATTCAAGCGTCAAAAATCGTTAAGAATTCAAATCGTCAAGAATTCAAATATTCAATGTCAATGAACTGTTTCACATTAAAATTATGAAAGGCAAAGTGCTGATTCAATGTTATTAAAATGAACTGAATAAAACGAGAAGACAGCATGCTCGATTACAAAAATCCTTAAAACGATAAAATGATTGAAATAAAAAGCGTGGCCGAATACAAAATTCATTCAGAATGAACTGCGTAAGACTTAGTGCTCCACGCTTTTATTAAGTAAATTCAAAACGGAAAAACGGAAACAGGATGTTAACCAAAAAATATCGGACTGCGCAGAATCAAAGACGTATTCTTCTAATAATACCGAAACCTTTGAGCCTGTTGCTCAAAAAATGTCGCACTGCGGGGCGAGAAAAAAAAAAAAGCTATCGCGATCTCTATGACAATAAAATTTCAGAACCTATAAGCAGAAATTTTAAAATTTAAGGAGTTTTCCAGGAGCTCCTGGAATTTCAGGAGGCCGTGGGATGTTGAACTAATCACATACAGACCACAGGCAAATAAAAGCATGAGTGCCCTCATTTCGGGAAAGCTGCTCTATAAATAGTATTTAAAAATGTACACTACGACTGACCATGATGACATCAACCATGTTCTCTCCAAGAGGCACTTGACCATCAGCTTAAGCGTGTCAGCCATTGTGACAGCATCAAGATCTTGGGCCAGCTTCATCAGCTGACACAGCTGTTGGTAAATCAATTGATATGAAAAATCATGGAAACACTAAAACATAAAAAAATGATACATGAATATGCTACATATTCATCAAGTTTTAAATTATAATGTTAAGCAAAACTCTGTTGAAGGTAGGTTAATAAAATATCTGCAGCTGTAAGTAGCATAAGGCTGTAGAATAAGGCCAACATCTGCAGCTGTAAGTAGCATAAGGCTGTAGAATAAGGCCAACATCTGCAACTGTAGGTAGCATAAGGCTGTAGAATAAGGCCAACATCTGCAGCTGTAAGTAGCATAAGGCTGTAGAATAAGGCCAACATCTGCAGCTGTAAGTAGCATAAAGCTGTAGAATAAGGCCAACATCTGCAGCTGTAAGTAGCATAAGGTTTTAGAATAAGGCCAACATCTGCAGCGTAATAAAATAAAATACCTGTAGCTAAGATCAACGTATAAGGCTAAGACAATACTTGCAGCAAAGATCCGTGAATAAGGCTAACAATCAATACCTGCAGCAAAAATCCGTGAATAAGACTAACACAATACCTGCAGCAAAGATCCATGAATAAGGCTAACACAATACCTGCAGCAAAGATCCATGAATAAGGCTGTTTGAGACAGGTGTATTATTTCCCGATGACGCAGGAATATTGGCAAACAGCTGTTGGCTGATGCCGATCACCTGACCTCTCCTGGTCAACGGCAGCAGTGCTCTTGAGGCAATAATTCGTGTTTTATATACAGGACTGGATGCACAGCTGAACAAGCACACAAGCAAAAGAGAGTCACTTTATTTATAATAATATTTATTTGGTTTCCAATGAAGAATTAATAAGAAACAGAAGTTGAGCAAACGGAGGTGACCCAGAAAATTAAAGATTACTCTCCCTTTGATAGTCAACATGAGTTTCAGATCAATTCAGAGGGCAATGGTGGCCTTAAATGTTGTGTCATCATTTTTAATGATGTAAATTTAGAAAAATTAATAATATAACTAATAAATAACTATTCAATAAAAGAAATGCTTACAAAATAGCTTATTTTATTTATTTTTCATAAAATATTTCTGTTGAATTTATGTGAAAATCTAACTGGCAATTAAATTTTGGTACAATATTTTTTATTCTCAATGATTGTAAATCTTTTCCAATGCTTACAACCCTTAGATAAATCATAAAGAGATGATCAACAGAGATGACCTACAGAGTCTAAGTACTTAACTATAGACTAAAAGACTGACCTGATAACATAAGGGATGAAAGCACTCAAACTGAGATTGGCATCAGAGCTCTCCAGTGTAGAAGGAAAAAGTCGACCGAGCACTAGAAGGACTGGATACAGACTGGGGTGAAGGTGGAGCCTGTCACTCGACCTGCAGGGAAAAACTTATTAATACCCAACAAAATGAAACATCTTTAATGATAAGAATACTCAAAACTGATGAGTTACAACAAACATTTTTAAGCTGAGGCATTAAGTTTGTAAATGTGAAACAAACAAGTTACAGAATAAAGTCAATACTAATGTGCTGTAGATAGACCGACCCTATGTTGATTGTGGCCTCCTCAAGTTCTGACAACAGGAAGGGGTAGAGAGTAGGGTAGCGATGAAAGAACGATCTTCCCGTCTGGCTAAAAGAGAAGAACAAGGAAGTGGTTTTTTAATTATATTCAGACAGAACTAAATCATTAAAGATCTGACAACAACAAAAAAAATGCTTTTAATAGCAATTTTACAAAAATGTGGGAAAATTACTATCGGCGTTTGTTTTATCATCTATGTTTTAATTGAACATAAACATCTCCTTACCAGTTTTTCTTGGACATGGCTGTCTCATCTTTACTTCTCTTTACACCAAAAATCCTTGTCATCAAGGCGCTTAGCAATAATGTAGCAGAGTTGCGTACCTTTAGTAGAAAAAAAACACCATCTGACAGAACAGTTAACTTCTTACAAGCTGAGTTGGGGGGGGGGGGGAATTTATATAATTACTGTCAAATGACAAAATTGGTGAAACATGAAAGTATAATAAGTATGGCACGTATTTCTAAACAGTTTTTTTTTCTCCCCCATATTATCTTCCTCTATGAAGTTAACCCCACTAGCTGCAGAAATATTTATAAACATGTCAAAGACCATATCAAACACACATTTTTAGATTAACATTGAGATAATTAAAACATTAACGTAAACATTGTATTTGAATTTAGAGTTTTATTATTTTAGATTAATATACAGTTTAAAAATATTTGTTTTTAAAAATTACACTAAACCTACAGCTAAAATCAAATCAATTAATAAGACAACTTATGAAAGATTCAAAACAATTGGAACTCAATACTTAAATAACAAATTAAATGTTCTTATTTACCGCCCACTGCTCTGATTTAAATCCTAGAATCGCTGCTATAAGACCATCAGAGACATAGGGTAAAACATCCTCGCCCAACCTGGCATCTCTGTACAAACTTCTCAAGATATTTACAGCATGCACCTGGCCAAATAAAAAGGACAAATAACATTTTTTAATTTTGTTTTTAAATTTAATTATCAAAATATTTCAATATCAGTTGTTTAGAATCGTGAAAACATTCTGTAAAAACCCACAGTGCCAAGAGCCCTAAGTTTAACACATTTTTTTAGCATAAGTGACTTGAATGATTCTGGAATTATTATTTTTTTAATTGGGTCATTAATTTCTAAACAGATGTGAATTTCACCCCATTTCCACAATTTCAGTACATAAGTTAATTATTCTCTGGTTCTTTATTCAAATCCAGTCCATGGAAATTGTATTGAAAAGATTTTAAATTTTACCGTCGCCAAGATCCTGTGAAAAAACATGTCAAATAATAAAGAGGTGAAAGACTTCAAACACCCAAGCCGAGCCGTACCTGCGCTTCTCCTCCTTTGGTAACGTCAGCCTGCCCTGCATTGTGCTGGCCAGCTGCTAGAGCTAAGAGATCTCTCATGACTTGATGAAAGCACTTCCTGCCTGTGGTTGCTGGCTCTGTTGATGTTATAGCCTGAAACATGGCGACACACTTTTTTTAAAAGGTTTGAGCATGTCTTTTTTCAAATACAAAATATGATATAATATTAATGTGCATCCAATGTAATGTTTTGGCGTGTGTTGTGCATCCACCTCTGCTCTAGGCGAACAGTGGAGCATTAACATCTTGAAACAAGGTGACATACTTTTGTAGTGGAATGAGTATGTCTTGACACATGGTGGCATACTTTTAGATTGGTTTGTGTGTGTCTGAACCCCAATGTTTGGATCCTCTTACCACAATGGGTCTCTGCTGTCATTGCATGTAATTAAATACATAACCCAAACCCCTGTCATTTGTCTAAAACAATTACACAGACACACATTTTAAAAAAACAAAAAAAAACAACCTGAACAAAGAAGGGAACTCCAGCACTGCGTCGGGTTGAACAGAACCTGGCATTGGGGTCACCAGATTTGATGTCACTGATAACTTGAGTCAGCCATAGGCCTGGAAGTTGATGGAATGAGGTCTTTGGGTGGCTGAATGAAGATGAGGGTTTGAATTAACACAACAGAGGTCTTTCGACGGCTGAATGAAGAGGAGGGTTTAAATTAACACAACAGAGGTCTTTGGACGGCTGAATGAAGAGGAGGGTTTAAATTAACACAACAGAGGTCTTTGAACGGCTGAATGAAGATGAGGGTTTGAATCAACACAAGAGGTCTTAGGACAGCTGAATGAAGATGAGGGCTTAAATTAACACACACATAGTAGTTAAGCTGATGAGGTGATAGGAGGTTGATTCGTCCATCAGTCTTTTCAAATAAGTTCAGTACAGTTGCAGGCCAATGTGTGCAACAAAAAGTTTGGATATGTGCACCAATTTATATTTCCATGTCCATGGAAATATCATAATGTGTGAGAATGTTTCCGTGTCATTATTTTGTGAACCATGTATGCAAAATATTAAACATAGTTTTGTGACTTTGGAATTAGACATTTCAATTTTTTTCAGAGCAAAATATTTGCAAATAAATTAGATTATTCCTAATGATGTTTTTCTTATTCTTCACTATTATTCTTCACCCTTTTTTGGGGGTTGGAGATTTTAAAATTTTTTTTTGTAAGCAGTATCATTTTTAGAGGAGCCAAGCATTCAGTGCACATAACTTTCATTTACAGGAACTTAATATTATTAAGTTTACACTTTAAGTAAATAAACTGTAATTTAAGTGGTGCTAAAGTGCTGTAATTGTCTTTATTTTAAAAAAATAAAACATTGATAGAATGAGCAGCTGAAGGCTGTCAAGGGAATTAAATGGGCAAAAGGTCTTACATTTCTGTATAGATCCAATGCAATAAAAATAAATTTTACTTGAGGATGGAAGGCTTGATGCACAAATAAATATTGCTTGATTTTGACAAAGCTAATCAGGAGACAAGACACTGACCTCCACAACATTTGACACATGAGCTGGAAACCAGAATATGCTAATTCAAAGGCCCCTCTGTGAATAGACTCTAGAAGCTGTTCACTGAAGTACTCTCCCAACTGGTGCACCTGGAGATTACAAGAATGCACACATTTTAAACTGCTAATACTAGACTAATGAAATTCTAAGAACAAGGTATGCTAAACTTGAATTCATTGACAGGACAAAAGATGGACGTTTTGGCTAAGAGCCTTCATCAGAAAACAAGACAAAAAGAAGAATGACAAATATGAGATGACAGTAAAAAAACTAAAGAGATTTCCTTTTCGTTGCCGGAAGTAGGATTTCAGGAAGTGAAAGAATCTAAATATTGGTACTGTGAAAAATAAGGGAGAGAATCTTAACGGACCAAATATTTAGGGATACATAAAATCTAAGGTATAAGAAAAAAAGAAAATATATGGGGAAATTGAGAAACGTTAGAAAAAGAGTATTTGATTCATACCATGTGGAGATATGCTAACGAAAAGCTGAATAAATTTATTTTCCATTTTCACTCTCTCTGGTGTGTTTGTGCACGAAATTAGAGTCATAATGGTTACATCTTAATGCACCTTCATGTTGCCCTCCGTTGAATGCAGTCCATAAATTATTACCTTTTAATACTAGATTTCAAGAATGCACACATTTTAAACTGCTAATAATTAGATTACAAGAATGTACACATTTTAAACTGCTAACAATTTGATTACAAGAATGCACACATTTTAAACTGCTAATTAGCTCACTTCTTATACATTTATTTCCAAATTTTTAAATTCTTGAGTAAACATATGGGTTCTAGTCAGTCCATCCTGCTTGTTTTCACCTCTCTAACAGTGGAGACAATTTATTCTAAGTGATATCCCAAGTGCATGCAAGCAGTCAACATGGTGCCTGACAGTAATTTTGCAAGTCTTTGACATTGTTTCACTATTTATTTGTTAAAAAATTTAAATGACAGGCCAAGTCAATTGTAGGCACTTTGGTATAAATTTTTGTTTAAAACTATCAAAGTAGTACAGTAGAATAGAGCAAACTTTAAATTAAAAAATGAAACAAAATAACTTTCTGACATTAGTATATTCTACGCTATGAATTTTCAAAGTATGACTTCACTTGTCCTTTTTTTAACATGGACAGCATCTTTAAATTCTATGACCCAATTCCACTGTTTCCATCAAGAGCTATAACTCTCATTTTAATAATTTTATAAGACTTTTATTTTCAGAATTAATGCTTTTTGTTATAATGTGAGTGGTCTTGAAGGCATAAAATGGTTGGTGACCTTTGAATTAGTTTTTATGTGGTAAAAGACAAAGTTCTGATCTATTTACAGCAAATTTTATTTCAAGCACAATGTCTTTTTTCTTAAAATCTAACACACCTTTTAAAAGGACTTGATGATTTCTTAACAAAGGACATGATGACTACTTAAAGAACATGAAAATAATAAACAAATTTACCTGCTGCAATGTTAGCAGTGACCGATGGTCAACTTCTGATATCAGACCAACTGGGATCTGCAGACACAATTTGCCCAAGGTCAAGGACACTTCTTTGATACTCCTCCAACAGCAGACGATGAGATATTCTGGCATAGACTCCACTAGGGCTCGACTCAGCTTGATGGATTCAGCCAAACTCTTCTTTTCCTGGTTCTTTTTTTCTGTGCAAAATTTGATTTATTTTAATCACAATGGAATTTATTCTAGATTTAATGTCTGTAACTTGTTTTGGATTTTAAAACTTTGTTATAGCCATTGTCTACTTTTCAACAGCATAAAACAATGTGGCACACCTATGAGACAAAGGAATTGTGCATCTTGATACAGGGTGCCACCTGTTGTTTATCACAGGCCATATTGTTTAGAAGAATGACATTGTTCAAAGAATGTAGTAGACCAAACAATATTTTACACATAGCTACTGTCATATGTCTTTTGGCTCCACCAGCTTTATAATAAAAATGCCAATTAATAAAGGGATCATAGAGAAACTATTTTGCCTTCTTTAATAAAACCACCCTACTTGACTATAGCCGAAGCTCTTAATTATTGAACGATGTATTTTACTTGTCTGTACTTCATATCCCAATCTGAATCAATAAAAAAGAAACCTGTGCAGTCTTAAGAAAAGAATTACCATCGCCCGAGTCTTTACCACAATTTTCCTCTTCAAAATTGTTAGAGACATCAAATCCTGGGCCATAAAGAGCATCTTCGGGAATATTTCCTTCTGGCGAAGAGTTCTGTACAACAGGGGAGACTACTCTGGATAAAGTTAGACAACTGTTGATCAGGCAGTGAATAAATTCTTTGGCAGCCGGCAGCAGTTCAGGCTCTAGCGATCTGTACACGGTTGGAGAAAATTCATTTGAATAAAACTGATTGTTTCAACTTGGAATTATTTTTTTTTTCATATCTTTTTCAAATTTATATAACACAGTAATAAAGAAAGCAGCGAAAAAATGGCTTCAGGAACAGCTCCTCAACAACACCTAGAATAAACTCTTCAATTTCTGACTGAATTAACTGCTCTCTAACTATGACTTCTCAGCAGTCCTCTATTCTTCATGCATCAATTACTTGAAGTTTATTTCCTGCATGATGTATCTGATGCAGTGCAATGTGGGGTACATTGGCCTGTTAGCTGCAGCTGTGATCAAGCTCTGGTTGGCCACAGTAGTTTCGTCATCCAGCAAAGCTAACAGTGAGTTGAGCAGAAACAAAGCCGTGTGTTTCACTGTGCCGGTTGGTCTTGTGACTGGGAACCAAGTCTGGGGCAACAACTCTTGAAACATACCGAAAATAAGAAAAGTTTTTCATTTCATTTAAGAGAAAATTTACATGGATTTGGAGCCTGTCCGTTTTACCCGAGTTAGATGTTATAAAAATATTCATTAACATCAGTACACGTTATAAAAATATTCAATAACATCATAGAATTATTAGTTCATTGTGCAGGTAGCAAATTTTATTAAAAATTATAGAATATTCATAAGTTAACAAAATACATGACAAGCTATTCGAAATAAAAACAACAGAGCTAAAAGAAATTTCTCAGAAATCTTGGGAACAAAGTCAAACAGAGCTGCACAACATACCAGAAAAGTCGCAGGCCGAAGGATGGAGCTCTTGTTGTTTCAGAATTAACAAAAAGTTATACACAGCCGTGTCACAATCTTGTGGACGTGTGCTACAAGACAGGGTCATGGAGATCTCCAACATCTGGGTCAGGCCATTTCTGTCCTGGAAGTTGGAGAGGGGAAAAAAATTAAGAAAACTTGAGATTAGCGGGAGTGAAGTTAGTTTCATAGCATGCACTGCCATCTTTAGTCACAAAAATACATTACTTGGTAATTTTGAAAGTGTTCTGAACTGGAAATTCGCTGTGTTCTGAAAGCTGTTGACAGTTGTCAAAACAGTATTTTTGCATGAGACGGCAAAGTGATTCAAAAAGTGAATAAATCGTTGGTTTCTAAAAAGTTAATTTGAAAATAAAAAATAATTTATCTTTACCCAAACTGGCTGACAATGTTCCATGTAGGCCGACAGGATATTGAAGGCTTCTTTTTTATTCTCTTCAAATGTATCCGTCATACACTCCACCAGAATCTGTTTGTCTTGGGAGTTTAACAGGGCTGGCAGTGAAAACCCATCTGTCTCTGCAGATATTACAAGTCATGTGATGGGCTTATTTTCAACATCAGCATTCAGTAATCAATGATAAAGATTCATTAAATGACAACTGTGTATGTACATTGTATATAAATTGTCAAATATGTATATAAATTACTGTAAACATGACAAGGGGTCACATGACTACAACTTAAATGTAGTAATCAGTAGCGTAGCGAGGGTGTTTGGCGCCCGGGGACAAGATTCGCGCCCGGGGACAAGATCCATTTTTAGCGCCCCTTTTTCTTTTATTCCACTCTCAAACCCATTATTTTCATCAATAAAATAATATCAAAGCACATTTTGGCGCCCCTGTCCCCCCCCCCTGCCCCCACCACGCTACGCCTCTGGTAGTAATTCAATCCTTAAAGAAGTAGAATAAGTAGAGGTAGTACGCTAAACTTGAATTCATAGACAGGACAAAAGATTTTGACGTTTCGACTTAGAGCCTTCATCAGCAAACAAGGCAAAAAGAAGTATGACAAGTAACCGAGCACAGTAAAAGAAACTTAAAGAGATTTCTTTCGTTGCCAGAAGAAGGATTGTCATACTTCTTTTTTTTCTTGTTTTCTGATGAAGGCTCTAAGCCGAAAAATCTAACTCTTTTGTCCTGTCTATGAATTCAAGTTTAGCGTACCTTGTCCTTATATTTCATTTACTCAACTTGAATGCAGTCTATCAATTATCTTTTAAAGAGGTAGCTTGGTTTCAAAATAGTAGTTACCAGTAGAAAAGCAGCTGGTCATTAAAGAAAGCACAGCCAGGCTGGTAGTTCTTCTTGCAAATGCTGACCCTGGGTAGAGACAGTAGAGCAGATGCTTGCCAAGCCAGGACAGAAAACCCTGCAGAGAGAAGCAGAGATCCTCTTCGAGTAAGTTTGAAATATTCTCAGTAAATGTAAACAAATGGAATTTGTTGAAGAACTAACTTCAGAACTGTGGAAATAAAAGACTTTCTAAGTGACCCTGGCAAGTGATAATAATAATAATAATAAAGTTCATTTCAAAAACACGCTTCATCCTCAAAGGCTCGAAGCGCGGTACAAAGTCAACAAAAAAACATATCTATAATTTACCACATTTAAAACAAACGCAACACTACAAAAACTAATTACAAGCATACACTGGAAAATAAGGTAGACAATCATCCCAGAAGGTATTTGCGAAATAGATGTGTCTTTAGATCGGTTTTAAAGGACTCCAGTGTCTGGTTGTTTCTAGGATCGACAGGAAGGGTGTTCCAAATTGTTGGACCAGCAAATGCGAAAGTGCGCTTTCCGTAAGTCTCAAGGCAAACACGTGGTGTCGAGAGTTTGCCACTATCCGATGAGCGGAGCTCTCTACTGGGTACATAAGGCGTCAGCACTAGTGATCCTGGCAAATGACACTACTTGTTGTTCGTCCGTCGAAATCGACTAGGACCATTGAGTCATCCGGTTAGGGGAAGGGTGGGTTATGGTGAGCTCATAGGTGGCTTGCTAGACCGATCCGTGCTTGGAATACACTCTGGCACCTCGGGCAGGGGATAGTTGCTGCAGTCGGTGATCTCATGTTGGTCTTTAGGGCCAGCATGCATGTCTTAGCAGTGGTTATCCTACTGGCTTCATGAGATTTAGCCCCCTTCTTGACAGCTGTTCTCCACCTGGGTCTGTCCTTGGCTGCCTGCACCCATTTAGTAGGGTTGATGCTGAAGGCTTTTAGTGCAGCTTTCAGTGAGTCTTTGTAACGCTTTTTTTGACCTCCTTGGGAGCGCTTGCCTATCGTGAGTTCTCCGAAGAATATCTGTTTTGGGAGCCGGTGGTCTTCCATACAGCACTAGTGATCCTGGCAAATGACACTACACAGGTGACAACCTGATATATACAACCTATGAAACACATTTTGACTAAAAGGTCAGTTGACAACCTGACGTCTACAGCCTATAAAACAAATTTCGAGTAAAAAATCATAAATTTTAAAGATTCCTCCATCACTTTTGGAACATACCTGACAATGTTGTATGGACTCCTCCTGGGTCCTAGAATGTTTGTCTTTCCTGGCAAGTCTTTTGGCGGCTGCCAAAGATTCTTTCATCCTGGTGAAAAACTGCATGAGGCAAGGGAGTTAAAAAATTATTTCATCACTTAACCAAACAAATCAGCATCATCATAATTCATAAAATAATATTCTGACTGCATAATACTCCAGTTTTCATGAAGTTATTTATTTAATGCAATATTAGTACTTTCAGGAGCTCAAAAGCTATTCATAAAGTAAAATTATTCAACGGAAGTCTTGCTACAGACTAATTTTAAGGAGAAATTTAAAAAAACCAACAAGGATTTTCAAGACTGAAAAAATATAACGATGAATGAAAAAAAAAATTCCATTTATTTGGATCAATAAAATAATCTTACCTTAAACTTAATATCATGAAACGGCTTCCTTCAATAATAAAAATCATACATAATAAGCGTTCAAGGTTGCCCAGTAATTTTGTTATAGCTATTATTTTTATCTACAAACAAAAAATAATGCATACAAGTAAGAAAACTTCCCACTATATTAAAGAAGAAATAAAAGGTTTTTCCACACACACCTTTTTCAGCAATGATACAAAAGATTGTCTAAACGCAGGCGCTTGGTTGTTCAGGTTGAATGGAATGAAATATTTCAACATGTCGAGCTCAAACAAAGTTATTGCCTCTGTAGTTTTGTGGTTCTCACACAAAAGAGCAAAAGCATCCAAGCGAATCTGACAGAAAGAAAGGCATATAACATGAATTATATAAAATTCTAATTGAATTCCTAGAATATTTCCTGACACTGAAAAATAAAGCATCATCTCATTTTTAATAAATGGAATTTTCTTAACAATACCTAATAAAAACTATATCCAATCATATCCATGATAATAATCCATGGATCCACATGGTCAACTGAGTATATATTAGTTTTATAAATATATTTAAAATTTCACACTCCAGTTTATTTTAATTGTAATTAATGAAGAGTATCGGGAGTTACACCAATTATGATGGGGGAGGCACGCACGAAACACGCACAACATGGACACAAGTGATCAGGAAAACTGAAGACAAGAAAGCATGCAACAATTTTTCGTCCAACAGCATGAAAGAAACAGCAAAACTGAACCTGTTGATCCATGCCACACAATGCTCCCTTGAGGACATCAGGATGAAGACGCCCATACCACAGTGAATCTTTCCTGGTATCTGGCCGGGGCAAAGGTTTTAAGAGACCCAGCACTCGAGCTCGTCGTAAACACATAATGACTGCACCATAACATGGCTCGTGCTGCTCTAAAGACAACAACGGACAAAATTATTTGTCAGAGTCAAACACAACAACTTTTTGACTTTCTAAGAATATCACAGGCTTTTGAAGAATATCATAAAATCCCATTCACATATTGCTTAGTATCATTTTCACATTAAAGGGATTTCAATAGCTAAAAATAAGCTAAAAGTTCTGACCAACCAAAACTAGTGTTTGTCCTTTAACTTGCAAATACCATCAGTAACACAAAACCATTAAATTCATGTTGGTTTAATTTAGATATAAATATAGAAACAATCCCAACTTTAAATTGTGCCCCCGTGAGTAAATCAGATTAAAAAGTTCTACAATAACAACCCATTAATTTTGTTTATATTTTTCTATACAGCATTAAAAAAAGACGTCAACATGTGACCCCATGCCTTACCTTGTGTGGTTGAAGAGAGCCGTGAGATCATGTAGTCCAATATTTCATCCCCATGTTTCATGAGTTTCGGCAGCAAATACTGGGATTTGTGAATGATATTTATGTGATGATATTTATTGCTCTAGCTCTAACTTTAATGGCACTTACATAATTCTCATTTTTTTTCTCACTAGCCTGCAATATTATATTTTTTCCCCCAGCATCTTGCTAACATAAATCTCATAAATCAATAATTTATGCAATGACACATATTTATAGGTCAAAAATAAAATTGAAAAAAATGTTCATACACTAATCATAGAAAAAACAACAACTTTTAAATGGCAAAATGTTTAAAACTACAAACTTCAATGATGTTCTGCTTCATTTTCTTGCTCTCAGAGCACATGGCTATGACCACCGGCTCAATCCATATATGGAGAAATACTTTTTTCCACTTGTCACCAGGTTCTCTGCTCTTCAGCTCTTGGTGGTGGGAGGTAAATAAGGTAGAGTACAACTCACTAGCCTAAGATATTAACCAAAAAACAAAACAAAAACAATTTTTTTTAAAAATCAAAAAAACAATTCAACAAATTGCTACAACTATATACATATAGATAAGTTTAACCATTAAACACATCAGTAAAAAAAAATGACAAGCAAAACTACTACTAACATAACATGACAATGCCTGCTCTTCCAACTGCTGAATAACTTCTAAGGGTAGACCTGAGCGTATGGCCAGGACGTCACAAGCGCCAACAAGTCGAACGCACGAGCCCAAAGCAGTAAATTTTCCTTTTGATGTCCAACTGACGGCAAATATGTGTTCCATTATAGAGTGGATAAAAATGTCTGGCTTACCATTGGCTGTGGACGGGAGATTTTAAAAAGTGAATGTTTTTGTTTTTAAATTTCCTTGTCTTAATTGAGAAACAGATTACTAATTCAGTGTTTGTAAATATAAGATTTAAATTAGATGTACCGTTGTCTGTTTAGAGATTACCTAAGATAGCTGAGTGGTTTAACTTACATGATGCAACCTTCCAGTGAATTTTTAAAACGTTCTCAAATACAGATTTGGCATTTTGGCGGATCACCTGAAAAATATCAAGACAACCACAATTATTCTAGTTTTAGGGAGTTAAATTTTCAAAATGATTAAATTTTGAGCAATTGTTATTACTGTGTATATGCACATATAAAAATTAAATTTTTGTGGAGAACATCAAAGCAAAAAAATCAGATGATTAAACTGAGTGCCAATCTGCCTTACATCTAGCTGATCCTCCCAGTGAGTCCACACATAATCAAGCAAACTCTGTAGTGCCCGGCTGTTGCCATTCATCTTTTGGGCCAGTTTGGGGCCCACCTCATTTCCTGGTAAACTGGCTCTAAGCCAAAAAAAAAAGAACAATAATAATGATAATTAGTGGTGCCGTTACTCATCAACACAAATTTCAAGTTTGGCCATTTATGGAGAACTAAAACTTGATTGACGGCCCATTATGGAGAACTAAAACTTGATTGACGGCCCATTATGGAGAACTAAAACTTGATTGACTGCCCACTATGGAGAACTAGTCAATCAAGTACACGCAAATGTTAAATACATTTCAAAGCAGTCAAAAAGACTGTTAAATTATAAATCTGAAACAAACAATTTAGCTGTCTGAAAGCATTCCCTTTTTCTTCTTCCAGTATTTAGAAGGAATAAGCTTACTATATTAAATATCTTACAGCAGCTTTGAAGTCCAGAGACTAACTGACTTTCCAAATAAAGCTTTGCTGACCGTGTCTCCGCATCTAGGAGAAGAGATGATAATATGTATTAAATATTTAATAAATTTATGACGAAACACTTAAGTACTCTATCATTACCTTTTAAATCATGTACAAAAATATATATACAGTTTTTGTAGGTGACAAAATCCATTCTCGGGCCTCCGGGGCCCAGTAAAAGCTCCAACAAGGGAATTGAAAAAACTTCTATGGTAAAGGTACGATTTAAAATATGAGCAATGGCAAAATTAAAATGAGCTTTGACAAAATATAAATAATTTTTTTTAAAACATAAGTGTTACAAATTTTAGTATAGATGATTATGACAACTGAAAATAAACTGATTAAAATAAATTATAATATTTATACAATAATAAGTAACAATTTGGATTACATTTAAGATGTTGCATGAACTCTTTCTTATTTCAAAAGGAGGTTGTTTCTAATATATCCAGATACCATGTAAAAAATAATAAATTCTTTTAAATGCTTGCTAGCTAGATAGTACAGCTTATTAAATAAAGTTTACGAACAACAAAATTTTAAAGTTATCAATAATGAATAATAAAAATTTGACTAACAAGGTTCCTCGACACAGCATATCAGGTAGCAAATGGTCAATGAAAAAAATATGCCCTTCATTGGTTTCTGTGACCACAGCTGCATTAGAAACCATTGCAATGTAACCAAAGGCCAGGGCCAGATAAGCCATAGTGGAAAGATCCTCCATATTGAGACACGATCTTTGAGCATCAGAAAGCCACGGAATGCTAGTTCTGTATTCCTGACTGAAAACTTTTGGAATGAGTAGAGCTGGGATCTGTGGAATAATTACAAAAAACATTTAGAGCAAGGACAACAAAGGCAATATGTATGACAGGTTTTTGGGTTTTTTACATCCTCTGATAAGAAACAATTTGTAAAACGCACTTTCTTTCAATGCTGCAGAATAAATAGTGAAAGAAAAAAAAACAGATTTCTAATTTTTTTTTCTACTTATAAAGCCAGAAAAAAATCTTTTAATTTTATTTTAAGTATTACATTTTCTCGGGAAAAAAAAATCAGACTCATTTTTTTGGAGACTGTTTTGTCATATTAAACTTGCTCAGTTTATAGATAGAATATTCATGGTTTGACAAGTAATATTTTCTTTATATTTCAAGTTAAACAACTCGTCTTTTAATCGCTGTGCAGGGTTTAGGTGGCACTTTGAATTTTTTAAACTATAAAACACTTAACTACCCAGAGGTTTAAATTTGGTTACATGTCAGTTCAGCTTATAACACATACCAGATAATGTGCCTTTGTGTCAGGTGAGGCCTGCTGCAGCAGCAGAGTGACATTCATGGCACAGCAACATCTACAGTCCAGGAGAAACAACTCTGATGGAAATAAGTTTTTTTTTAAATGGTTATCTGCTCTAAATGGAAAAAGCGAATGTTGTTCATCTTTATAATAAAAAAAAAAGTATTATAAATGAAATAAAAAAGGATAAGAATAATCCTTTTGTTTCAACATAGAGTCAAAGTAAAAAGTTGTTTCAATATAGAGTCAAAGTAAAAAGTTGTTTCAATATAGAGTCAAAGTAAAAAGACATTGGCTTCATTCTGAAATTGCACAGTGAAGTTTTACAAAAATGTATAGTGATCTTTAAAATAAAAAAATTATCCTCATGTTTCAAACAAGCATTTTCTTTAAATGTTAAAGATAAAGTCATTACCATTTGTCAAAATCATTAGGTCAAAATCAAGCATGTTAGCCAATAGTGTACCATCTTCTGTGATCTGATTGGTTATTTGCGGGACAGTTTTCTGCATGACAAGGTTGAGTGTTTGGACTGTCACATGACAATGTAACATGACCTCATGAAGGAGGACAGGAGGTACATCTTTTCTGATGGAAAGAAATGTAAACGATTTAAAAATATGTTTTAGAAAAATTGTAAACCTTTTACCCATAGCCAGACATTCAAAGTGTTCCATCTAACATACCAGCTAAAGATGATGGGGATCAGCTACCGTGATCAAGCAAAGGAGTCAAGAAAAGCTACAAAAGAGCATAGGACAGGGCACATCTCATGCCTACATACATCATGTATTTCACTATCGTTATTATTATTATTATTGGTAGTCTTATATTATAAAGCACGGTACAACAGCCAAGGGCTGGGCTCACCGCACTGTACATAAAAATATTAGCAAAAGATACATAATCGTGACATTAAAATAAAATACATTTATATAATAAAGAACAGCTGTATAACAACAAAACAAAAACAAATGTATATACACCCCACCCACCCCAGAAATTTTACATGTCAAGCCATGGACGGCAGCTAGCAGCATCGTTTATCGGTCAGAGGAGGGAATCAGTCGGGGTAGTAGAGTTTAAAGAGATGTGTTTTGAGTGCTGTTTTGAAGGCCTGGGTGGTTGGTAAATTGCGGATGTGTAGTGGCAGAGAATTCCATTGTTTGGGGGCGCAGAAAGGATAAAAATCGTTCACCATATGTTTGAGTGTCTGGGGAATGGATAGAATATGCGTGTCTGCGGTGGAGCGAAGCTGTCAAAGGGGTGAATAGAGAGACAGAAGTTCGGTTAGATAGGAAGGGCAGGAATTCGAGAAAAAGTTGTGAGAGAGAACAAACAGCTTCTGCGCGCATGTATAGGGAGCCAATGAAGTGACTGGAATAGTGGAGTGACATGATTATGTTGTTTTTTTGCCTTTAGAACAAGCCTAGCAGCTAAGTTTTGAACCTTTTGTAGTTTTTCTATGAAATGTTTTGGTGAACCTGACGGAAGAGAGTTACAACAGTCAAGACGAGAGAGAACAAGAGCACAGACCAGGGTTTATCCAACAAAGAGTTTAATTGCAAACCAGCTATACTGATACCTTTTTAATGCTACATTAACTTGAATATCTTAACTAAACTATGCAGCTACAAAACAAGTAACATTTGTGATAAGCCACTCACTGAATATGAGATAGGAAAAATCTTTCAGCCCGTAATAAAAACTTTATAGCTGAAATGAGAAAAAGAAATAAAGTTAGGTTGGACAGTCAAAGTATTAACCGAGTGTAGCATGGGTTGCGTTTTATTGTGTGGGGTGTGTATTGCATGTCAGTTTAGTAAATAAACGCTTTTGGCCCATTAGGCTTGTGATTATTGTGATGTGATTGTGTTGTAGCTGTGATGTAGTATCTATAGTCAGTCTTTGATGTACATGCTAATAGTTTGGCAGTTGGAGTATGGCCCATTAGGCTTGTGATTATTGTGATGTGATTGTGTTGTAGCTGTGATGTAGTGTCTATAGTCTGTCTTTGGTGTACATGCTAATAGTTTGGCAGCTGGAGTCTGAGCATTGAGTGAGCATGTTGTTTGGCGTTTCAGCCTGTGCTCTATGTGTTAGGACCTGTATTCTGCTAATCAGATTATGGCTCATGAATGAACGTGACATGTGAAAACCATTTATTCACAGATGCCACACAGAGTAACATTATGGAAAAAATTGCTCATTATACTTCAGAAATGTTATGTAAATATAACTTCAGAAGTGATTATGTAAATATAACGTCAGAAATTATTATGAAAATATATAGCTTCAAAAATGATTATTTATTCATAAAGGTTCACATAAGGGCTGTAAAAATCCAATCTCAAACTTTATTTTACACCATTCTACTGATGATCTCTTGAAACTAATAAAAGCATAAAATTACCTTTCATGGCCATTGATCCAAGACATCTCTCTCCTAAAAAAAATAATAACAATGGTAAATGGGAATTTCACCTGTGGAGCTCTCTAGAAGAGTTAGTTTATACTATATTATAGTACTATATAACTAAAGTTTTAACTTAAAACAAAAATTTTATTATTAAATTTCAAACATTTATTGGTGAACATCATTAAAAAAAATCATACAAAATTATATTGTTCAGTGTCACTTTTTGAGCTTTATTAATAAGCAATTGGGATTTTTAAAATTTGAAAGATCAAAAACTAGTTACTCTTTCATCATAAACTAATGAATGGCTGACAGTTCTCAAAATGAGATGGTGTGTTTATTTTACTTTTAAATAAAACTGGACTTGGTTGAAAAGGTTTAAAAAAAAAAAGAAAAAAAACCTTCCATAATAAGACAAAAAAATAATTTACCCATTGGAAAATTTTCCATTAGAGACCCAATATTATCTACACTATGTCTAGTCATTTTAACATCTTCATTTTGATGCAGGTTTGAATCAAGCATTATGGAAAGCTGCTCAACAATTGTGTCCTCAATGAAATGCCTGGGCTCATCTTCCAGGTTTGTAAAAAAGCTGTTTAAAAAAATAAAAATGTGAGAATAACAAGAAGCATATATCAGCATTTAAGGATTCGATGTATTGATTATTAATCATGTAAATGATTGCACATGTTGAATATTTTACCTGGCAAGGACACGTTTTGCTGGATATTTGGAAGTACAGTCGAAATAAATGAGCACAAAAATTTTAAAAGCCTCTCTCCTGACACTGTTTTCAGCAGCAAGTGTGCTCTCCCAAACCTGTAAAAGAATATTACAGATTTAAACTATTGTAAAATGAAATACAAACTGCTAGTTAAGTAATATTAAAAAGAAAAACTACCCTTATTTAACTGATACTTTTTGTTAAAACTAGTCAAAGATTGCTCATATGCCATTTGGTTGCAGACCTAAACAAGATAATGAAATATTAATATATAATTATTGGAACATGCATTCATGATCATACCATTTTAAGACTTGCCAGGAATGGCTTTGTGTCTAATGGAGGTCTAAGACCTTTGACTTGATCAAGGAAACTCATTCTTCACTCTGAAATTAGAAGGTTACAACTTATTATCAGAATGAGAAAAGATTCTTGTAGTTGTATTAGAAAAAATTTTATGAAAGCAGCTTAATAAATGTTTGGACTATTTTTTTTTGTCCTTCACTGCTTTAACAATAATCATTTTATTTTGATTTATATAATAAGATAAATAATAAGATTTATTGTAGTGACTAGTAATAGTGTTCTGAGAATTTATGTTTTATTAGGCATTAAATATTGTTTATACTAAGGGTGGCAAGGTGTCATGGTATTAGAACCACTGTGGTTATTGTATAGTCATTGTATCAGGTATTATTATAGCTTGTAGCACTGGGTTTATAATTGAACTCAGAAACTACTAGCCATGAGAGTGAATCTGATTGGTTGCTAGTTGGTGTGAATAAGCATATAATATATACAGTTGTGAGTGATAGAGAGCCTCATTAGTTATTCAAAAGTTGTGATCTAGTTCTAGGTGAGTTTTTCAGTAGTATTACACATTGAGTAGTGGTAGAGAGAAGTGAAAGGATAGTGGTTGTTCCCAACATTTTTAGTGTCCAGACCCCCTAAATTACATTTGAAAAGTTGTGGTGACCCAGAACTATAGTGTACCTTGAAATTGAAAATCAGGTGTTGAGAATGGGGGAGGGGGGCAGAGTTTTTTTTTTTTTGAAGATAAAAAAAGTGTTGGTACTTTAATTTTAATCAGGGGTGGAGGGAAGTAGAAATAAAAATTAGTGCTAAGAAGGGGTGAGGGTTCTGTAAAGGAGGCTCTGTAAGTTGATGCCCAGAAAATTGTTCATGAATTCACACTCACACATGATTAATGTTTTGCATGGATGTTGTAAAAAATTAGGGATACATATAATTTAGGGTTCAGGTTAGGTTTAGTGACAGTGAATTATAAAAGTTCACGGGTGGTGGCAACCAAGAAGGCGGCAGTGTGATACGTCATGGCAACAATTGTTTGCATTTTCATTTTACTGTAAAATTTTAAGTAAAAATGCTATTGGGATGTCATTTGTGGTAGTTTATTTAAATTTAATTAAACTGAAGAAGTAGGTTTACAAACATATATTATAGCCCATTCAATTATCTTTCATTTGATACCTCATTTTGTCTTACAAACCCAACAATAATATTTTAATTATTTTTTTTAAATCCCAACCTCTCACTTCTGGTACCCATCGCAGTCTTTTTTAAAAAAAAATTAAAATCAAACGTCAAACGTGGAACGGCAAACTCAAACGGGGGTTTGTTATTTTTTTATTATACTTTTATTATTAAATCATTATAATTATAGTTCCTAAATCTAAGTCTTAGATTTAAAACGTTTTAAATTTTCTTTTTTAATGAAAAATTCTGAGCCAACTACAACAAAACTCATTTACACCTTCAATTTTCAAACACAAGGTACACTACGTCTGCTAAGCTAGCTCCGACATTGTCCACATGTTTTCCTCCTTACATCAAAACAATCCAGATTTTTATTAGTTTAGCCGTCTGGAAGTGTAAAAATATACTGGTATGCCTATTAATATTTAGTTATTTTAATCCATGTGATTTTTTCATTCTCATTATTATCATAATAATTATTATTTTAAAATGATTTTAGATTATGTACATTATTAATTTATTATATATATATATTAATGCTAATGTTTTCAATAACTTATCAATAACATGTTGAAACTGAATAAATATTTACCATTTATAATTATTTTTTTTTCCTAGCTCAATTTTGTTAGAGATTAGTGATTGGTGAACTATGTTATTTTAAAGCATTAAAAAAAATGTATTCGATTTTTCAAAACATTGGTGTGTATGAGTAGTATGTTTTTTTGTTTACTATATGACTATATGTTGAATGTCTAGGATATTTGATGTGCACTAATCCTAGGACTAGGTATAGGAATTTTTGTTGTAATTTGATATCATTATCAGTGATCAGTTAACTGGTGACTAAGAAAATATATATTGCATGCCAGAATTTTGCCTTTTTTAAACTATAATTTAACATGCTTTAATTGTCTGCAAAGACATTAATAAATAAACAGCACTTTGTTGAGCAAGACGTACAAACGATGTTGAAATCACCCTTTAATTTTTGGATTTAAATCTACTTTTTGTTTACTGGTATTTGCTGATTTGTAATTCACAATAAAATATGGTGTAACTCCCTTGAATGAATCCCCAGGCTTAATAAACAATAATTTTGAGCGGAGCATTTTTATTTCTTTTAATTTAAAAGTTTAGGATTGGTTTGCCAAATACGATTTTTTCAAATTAAAGTTTCTTTTTTGTTTATGGGCCCGCCCACAATTATTATCTACATTCTACTTCCGTCAACAAAAATATTCAATTTATCTTGTCACTTTGTCGTGAATCATACATATTTCAGTTAAAACATGACTGTAAAATTTTTCCAAAAAAATTCTGATTAGAGGGGCTCAGCTTGCTCGACAATGTATGACAAGCAGAACGTACCAGAAGTCGTTAAACATATATGCGAGGAACTGCGTCTTCCATCAAAATTTTGCCAACTTGTATCAGCTGATCGTTCTGTGTGCATTGTAAGTAATTTGGGTAGGCCTTTATGTTAAAATTTGTAGGCCTATAATAAATATGTAAACTCAAAGGCCTAATTAATACAAAAAGGTATGTGGCATGACGTAAACTCCATTTACCATAGAATAGTGTTAGTTTAGTAGGTATGTACAGTACATTATAGACTAGACTGTAGGCTATAGGCCTACTTGACTTATGATTTACACTTATTTAACTTGACTTAAAGTACAGCTACCCCACACTCACACTACTCACACTTCATTTTCATTTACAAAACATAATCATAAAATGATAAATTATTGTAATAATTTTATAATTACCTTTATAATATATATTTGCTATATATCTATAGTCTATACATTTTAAATGATAATGTTTAGTCTAACTTTAGTCTCAAAATTGTTTATAATTATTATAAATTATAGGTTATTATACTAATACTAATACTTGTCCAATATTTAACTATGCTAACACTTGGGTTTCAGCTTGAAGTGATTTAATGTTACATACAAATAGAAATTTGGCCTATACTATTTGAATTTGAGTGAGTAGAATGGATTAGTTGTAGTGACATTCCAGATCAGTAGCCTAAATATACACTAATGGGCAATAAAGTTGTATTTGATTTGGACATTTTGTTTTGATAACCATGAATATGTTATATAAATATATATTTGTATGTTTGTGTTAATATTTTATAGTGAATTATAATATTTACATTCTTGACACTCACACCAAAATGAGATGAATAAAATAAATAGTAATTAATTAAATTTCCTCCTGACTAGCTTGAGTCTGAGACTGTTATTGTCCGGTACTATTAAATTTTTAAAAATGTATATTAAGTACATTAACTAGAGCTTTCTTGTAATATAATATATACTTTTTAAAAATCTAAATAATTAGGTCTAAGGCCTAGTTGTTTAGTCTCCCCGAATCAATTCATCTTTATGGAGGTAGTATTTTAATGAGCATTGGACTCATTGGTAAATATTTATAAAAATAATAATTTTTTTTATGTTCAAATCAATCTTACTAATTAAGCCCATTCCTACAACTTCTTACGGAATTAAAACATAAAACAGAACTATGTTGCATTTATTTTGAAAAGTTGACATTAATGTTGAACAAACTGTCATATATTTTTTAGGTTAATGATGACTGGCTTAAAAGCTTACATAGAGGGCACATCACTTCCTTATCTGGAGCAGATACCATTGATACATGCAAGGCGGAAAGATACCTGTCTCGGTCATGTGACAAGGTTCCTCAGCCATGGGTTAGAATGACCATCAAAGCAATAGCTAAATCTGATGAACTTTTTGAGGAGTAAGTTGTTTTGGGTTCACTGTGTGTACACTTTATCAATGTTGTACTTTCCTTGAGTTTTACGGGAACTGATTCTTTCAATTCTAGATTTATTTAACAATAAAATTATAGAGATAATACAGACTGGTATTTTCAAAGAGCGTTTTTCTTGTTGTACAATATTATTTATCGAAATGAGCAAACAAAGTTTGGGAAAACCTGAAAAAAAGGACTAAACAAACATGTCGGAAAGATGCCTTCTTCAGCGAAAAAACTACAGTAAAAACAAAATAATAGTAAAATAACACTTAGTTCCAATTTAGTATCTGAGAGGACAGCAAAATTATTGTAACAGCCAATAAGTAAGTGAGAGATTAAATACAGGCAACATGGGACGGAAGAGAGGGAAAGTAAGTCCACTGCAATTGATGGTAGCTAGGAGGGGCGGAGAAAAGGTTTAAGAAGTGAATGAGAACATTTTGTACATTATTTATTCAATTTCAACAAATGAAGGCATTCATAACTGTGATGGCCTATCTCATCATATTAAATTTCAAACCAGCTATTGCTAGGGTCGGCAAATGGGGGTAAATTACCCTAAATGGGGTAAAAATGAAAATCTTGGGGGTAATAGGGCTCATAAGACATAATTAAATTATATAAGCACATTCTTTTTTTTTTCAGTAATTTTTTTCAGGCAACATTGCACCGGGCCATTGCAATAGAGAAGAGCACAGAATATGTTGTGGTTACTATTGGCTTGGAAGCTAGCATGAGCTCATGTTTTATCATGTATACTTCATTTTGGCCTAGTCCCTTTTTTTATCTTATGCTCATTTGTATCACTAGAGTTGGTGTCACTTTCTCCCTTTCAAATCGGTGTAAGCAAATATATTTTGGGGTGATGGCTAAAAAAGTTTTAAGACCCCTGAGTTGTAGCACATTTGGCATGTCTTTACGAACTTTCTTATATTCTTTCAGGCTACCTGGCAATTACTTACAAAAACAATGGGCCTGTGGAAGTTTGTATGAGTTTATGTCACACGTTACAAAAGAAAATATGACCAATCTATGGCTACAGGTCCAGAGCTCTCTTAGAGATGGAACGAGCAATCGTCCAGTTAAAACGGAAAGTTTATCTGTACGAATTTAATTTTCAATAGATAAATTTTATATATTATTCTAACCCTGAATAGGTTTTATTTATTTTTATAGAATTTATTTCTATATATTTCTATATATTTCTATATATTTCTATATATTTCTATATATATGTATATAATTTATTTCTATATATTTCTATATATTTCTATATATTTCTATATATATGTATATAATTTATTTCTATATATTTCTATATATTTCTATATATTTCTATATATTTCTATATATATGTATATAATTTATTTCAGTATACAAATTTAGTACGACAGCTTCTGCGCAGACTGAAGCCATCTGTATATATCAGTCTACAGTCAAATGTACAGGCAGCCTCCCCACAACATCTGTCAACTGACTCTGCCAGCAGCACCAGGATGTCCCAACATGGCAGCAGTTTCAGCACAGGCAGCAGCAGTCGACCTGGCAGCTTCTACACAACATCCGATGCACAGTCTTGCCATGGCATCGTCCCCGTCGAAGTTGTTGTTGAGACTGAAAGTTACTTTTACCTAGTTCAGCCCTACTACCAGTACACTCTAAACGATGCTGTCACCTTCAGTCCAACCCTACTGGACACCAGTCATGCCAAGCCTTTGTTTATTGTCTACCAACTTCTTCACGCCATGCATTCCCTGCACAATCAGGGATTACGGATGGGAGATATTCAGATCTGTGATATTGTTATGGATAAAAACATGTGGCTCAGGGTTTCTAGTCCAAAATTAAGTATTCTCATTCGCCATAGTTCAGGTCTATCTAGTCCTGGTTCAGAATCAGGGTCAATGTACATGACTGCTAACTCTCCAGAAATTTTTCGAAGGGACAGTTTTTTTCCTCTAGACCAAAAGCTGAACTCTTCTCTGGTGCATCAGGTGAGCTGATTGGTCTTGCATCTGTCTAGTGTTATCGTCAAAATAATTATTGGTGCTCCATTGCCGAGTGATAGAATGCTATGTTAAACGTCATTTCTGGGCAGTAAGTATCTTAAAGGGTGTGATCTGTCATGCTTTGTTTGCTCAGTTATATTGCTTGGAAATGGGTAAGTTGTTTTATTGTTTGATGGTGGACCAGGTTACAAAAAAAAATTGTTTTAGATATATATTGGTTATAAGCACAAAATGGTGGGGCTTTTTTAGTTAAATTTTTTTAAAACTATTGAGCTTTGTGTTTCATAACTATAAGCAACATCTATATTGAGCTTTGTGTTTCATAACTATAAGCAACATCTATATTGAGCTTTGTGTTTCATAACTATAAGCAACATCTATATTGAGCTTTGTGTTTCATAACTATAAGCAACATCTATATTGAGCTTTGTGTTTCATAACTAGAAGCAACATCTATATTGAGCTTTGTGTTTCATAACTAGAAGCAACATCTATATTGAGCTTTGTGTTTCATAACTAGAAGCAACATCTATATTGAGCTTTGTGTTTCATAACTATAAGCAACATCTATATTGAGCTTTGTGTTTCATAACTATAAGCAACATCTATATTGAGCTTTGTGTTTCATAACTATAAGCAACATCTATATTGAGCTTTGTGTTTCATAACTAGAAGCAACATCTATATTGAGCTTTGTGTTTCATAACTAGAAGCAACATCTATATTGAGCTTTGTGTTTCATAACTAGAAGCAACATCTATATTGAGCTTTGTGTTTCATAACTATAAGCAACATCTATATTGAGCTTTGTGTTTCATAACTAGAAGCAACATCTATATTGAGCTTTGTGTTTCATAACTAGAAGCAACATCTATATTGAGCTTTGTGTTTCATAACTAGAAGCAACATCTATATTGAGCTTTGTGTTTCATAACTAGAAGCAACATCTATATTGAGCTTTGTGTTTCATAACTAGAAGCAACATCTATATTGAGCTTTGTGTTTCATAACTAGAAGCAACATCTATATTGAGCTTTGTGTTTCATAACTAGAAGCAACATCTATATTGAGCTTTGTGTTTCATAACTAGAAGCAACATCTATATTGAGCTTTGTGTTTCATAACTAGAAGCAACATCTATATTGAGCTTTGTGTTTCATAACTAGAAGCAACATCTATATTTCGAGTCATTCTTTCTGCTTTTAAATTAAGGACAAAATTATTTATTCACTTGATTAACATTAATGTAAATTAAAATTATTAGTGCTCAAATTAATTTAAAGTTGATAGTTTAGAATGGGATTGGCTTGAGTTAGGCCAGATTTTCACAATAGGCATTATTATTACAAATAGCCACATTTTTACAAGTTTTTACTGAAATACACTTTTAGAAAAAGAATGGTGAGTAACTCTGCTTAGTTTTTTGATGTGATGTTGATTGTATATCTAATTTTTTCCTTTTGTTTCCAAGACCCTCAACAGTCCAACAGGCCAAGAAAGAATGTTCCAAGCCGCTTGTGATTTTATGAAAGCCCAGCGTTATAAAAATTATGAAATCAAAATGCTTGACGCTGTTGTAGATGCCTGGATGCATCGGCAAATCAACAATTTTCAGTACCTCATGATTCTAAATCACCTTGCAGGTAGACAAATGAATGACCCAAATAATCATCCGGTACTCCCATGGGTTCTAGACTTTTCTGCACCCGATTCAGGCTACAGGGATCTCACAAAATCAAAATTTAGACTCAATAAAGGAGATGGTCAGCTGGATTTTACTTACACTGGCATGCTGGGAGTTGCTGAATCCGGGGAGCACATTCCCCATCACGTCTCCGATATTTTGTCTGACATTACATACTATGTTTACAAGGCCAGGCGCACTCCAAAAAGTATTCTGTGTGCACACGTAAGATCCAACTGGGTGCCCCATGAGTATCCAATAAGTATGCAGCGTTTGCAGGACTGGACACCAGATGAGTGCATCCCCGAATTCTTTACCGACCCGAGCATTTTTGAGTCCATACACGAAGATCTCCCAGACCTTGAGATTCCTCTGTGGTGTAAGAACGCTGTGGATTTTGTAGTGCGGCATTTGGCTGCTTTAGAAAGTGAAAATGTTTCTTCAAACCTTCATCATTGGATCGACTTAACATTTGGCTACAAGGTAATGTGAACTAACTGGGTTACTGGAGGTCAACTAACTGGGTTAGGTAATGTCAACTAACTGGGTTAGGTAATGTCAACTAACTGGGTTAGGTAATGTCAACTAACTGGGTTAGGTAATGTCAACTAACTGGGTTAGGTAATGTCAACTAACTGGGTTAGGTAATGTCAACTAACTGGGTTAGGTAATGTCAACTAACTGGGTTAGGTAATGTCAACTAACTGGGTTAGGTAATGTCAACTAACTGGGTTAGGTAATGTCAACTAACTGGGTTAGGTAATGTCAACTAACTGGGTTAGGTAATGTCAACTAACTGGGTTAGGTAATGTCAACTAACAGGGTTTTTTCAAAAATATTAATCAGCAATAAATTTTTTTTAAATTTTTAAATAAAAAGCCACTCAAATTGTAAGTCAGCATAAAGGTCTGGCAGAGACTTTTAAAAATTTAGTAATATAACCTTATTTGATCAGCTTTGGAAAACAAGTTTAACTCAGTTTTGAATACTAAAACAATGCCAAATTTTTGTGACCAACAACAGTGTATGTTAGGGATTCTTATGAATTTTAAAAAATTATTAAACATATTGTATAGTTAAATAAAAGAATTTCTAATTTTGATTTGATATTGACCATTTCTTTTTCTTCTTCAGGTTTTTCGGTTACAAATAAATCATAAAAAACTCTGATTTTATTAAAATTCTAAAGATGCTATAGCTAATAATGAAATCTAAAAATAGAAAGTCAACTTTGAGCATTATCAAAGTAAAGCTGAATCTGTGTATTGCTCATATTTTTTGTAAAAAAAAATCAGAAGTTCTAATACATAATTTATGTTTGTGTAATAAAATATCTAGGAATTCATTTGTTTAAACTTGTAGTTGAGTGGTCCAGCTGCTGTCAAAGCCAAGAATGTCCATCTGCACCTGGTGGACCAGCACACTTATCTCATCCCTCATGGTGCCACACAGCTTTTTCAACAGCCACACCCACAACGAGAATCACAGCAGATTGGTACAGCTGGCATGTTGCCACAAATAACCAGGGGATTGTTGAACTCTCAGGTGATATGAAAATAAATTTGTGGCTAAATGAGTTCATTTTTAAAAAATATCTAATCAGTATATTTACAGTTATAATTCTGTCTGAGAGTAACTGAAACTATTTCTTTACTTTAATTTTTACTTTTAATCTTTAAGTTATCTGATATTTACTTTTATGTTGTCACATTAATAATTATAAATTCTCTTTTTACTGAAATCTAACTTGAGGGTTTCAAAAAATAAATTCTACAATCAAGCTAGGAAACAATGAATTTGGAGTCAGTAACTTTTGGAAACTTTTTTAATTTTTTAATTTTTAAATAATAGCTACTGACATACGGCTTACCTGATATTGACAAAGATATCCATGGATTCGAAAACAGGTACTTTTTATTTTGTCCAAAAAAATATTTTAAAACTTGATTGACTAAGCTTTGTCCCCCTTAGTCCTCAAATTATCTAAAGAAATAATGTCTTAAATACATAAAGTAATACTGAAATAGAAACTGTTATATTGCCTGCCATTTGAAGTAAAGATCATTGTTATTCTTTTAAATAAAATTATCTTAAAATGAAATGTGATGAATATTTTTATTTTCAAGGCCTGAATTGTATGCTTTAACAGTATAGGAATGCTTACGATGACATATCAATGTGTACAAGACATCAACATTCTGAAAAAATGTGTAGAAGATGTCAAATTTGATAAAGGAAATTCAATAACAACTTTAAATCATACATAAATTTTGTCAATTTTTAAATATTTGCATTATGTTAAGATTTTA